GTCATATTGGCGTGGGCTGTGTAATCGAACTGTACACAAGGCTTGGTCTTGGACCACTGTGTCCTGTCCAACTACTGCCAAGGCTGTGCTGTTGGCCCCAAGCTGGTGACGACAACTATGAGGAGTGGCTCGAGAAACAAAACCACAGTGCCAAAAGAACACCGATGCTAATGCAGGCCAAATGGAAGTAGAAGCAGCTAGAATCATGTTTGAAAGATCGTTTACCAAGTACAAGCTTCGATACATCAATGTGCTCTGCGACGGTGACAGCCGTACGTACCTTGCCCTCACGCAATGATTGATTTGTGGGGTTTAACGTCCCAAAACCACTATTTGATTATGAGAGACGCCGTAGTGGAGGGCTCCGGAAATTTGACCACCTGGGGTTCTTTAACGTGCACCCAAATCTGAGTACACGGGCCTACAACATTTCCACCTCCATCGGAAATGCAGCCGCCGCAGCCGGGAATCGAACCCGCGACCTGCGGGTCAGCAGCCGAGTACCTTAGCCACTAGACCACCGCGGCGGGGCTGCCCTCACGCAAGACAAGGTGTATGGCTACATGGTGATCAAGAAACAGGAGTGTGTGAACCATGTGAAAAAAGAATGGGCACTTCCTTGCGCAACCTTCTTGATGAGCACAAATCCAAAGGCCGAGGACTGAGCATGGGTGGCAAAGGCCGGTGACGCAGGGCCTGATAAAGAAGTTAACGAATTATTATGGCTGGGCCATTAAGAGCCACCCCAACGATGTTCCTGGGATGGAGAGGGCCATCATGGCCACTTATTACCATGTAACATCCCTAGACCAAATAAAAGTTTATCCAAAAAAAAAAAAATCCTAGACCAGGATTCCTAGACCCTAGACCAGGATTCACACCACGACCTGTGCCCAAGTGGGACCGACTCCTAGTGCCCGCACAATCAGGCATTGGCCAAGGGAGAGCCGCTGCCGCCTCACAAACATAAACTGCCCTCTCACGTGCGAGTGGCACTGCTGCCAATCTACAAGCGCCTCTCGAACAAAGAGCTCCTTGAAAGGTGTGCACAGGGAAAAACCCAGAATGTTGTGGAGAGTATGAACAGCGTCATTTGGTCACTCCAGTCTAAGAGCCAGTTCGCCTCCCTTCGGAGTGTGGAAAGTGCAGTTGCAGATGCAGTCTGCTGTTTCAAGAGTGCGCTGCAAGAGATCACTGCTCGACTGGGCTTCAATCCAGGAGACTGCTCTTTGCGGCGAGCAGCCGAAAAGGATGCCAAAAGGGTAAAGAGGGCTCAAAAGGCGCATTGTTCCACGACAAAGAAGCGCGAAACTGGGTTGCGCTCTACAGAGGCCAAGGCCACAGCATCTCAGGATTACTGCCCAGGATGATTCTGAGTGTTTTAGGCATGTTGTGAACTTCCAAACAAGAGTGAAATTTCAAAGTCAGTTTTCTCAACTCTTGATTTTCGCCTATGTGTCTTCGCTAGAACATCTGTCATTTTCTAACAAAGACTGATAGAATCGTTCCGTTTTTTGCACTAGGCTCAGGAGGCTTTTAGCAGTGCAATAAAGCTTTATCTCTCTTCTCACTCACCATTTAAAATTTTTAGAACACATTTATAATTACTGCGATGTGTGCGCAAAACAACATCCATGTTTTGGAAATTTTATTTATGGTTACAAGAACTAGAAAAATCAACTAACAGCTTCTTTGCACAAGTTGATGCTTTGGGAACATAATAATATGAAAAAATAATTTCATTTAGCAATAATTATCTTGTTAATTGTGAAGAGCGTTAATTAGTGTAATTATGCTTGTAACTCAAAAAGTGCAAGAGGTATTTGAAAACGGTTTTCATATTTGGAATCCTCACAATCATCCACATACTCACACCAAATTTCATCAAACAGTACATTAATAAAAAAATTAGTTTTACTTGCCACGTCCCCCTTAAGGTAACAATGAAAAAAATGGGCAGGGTGAATGGTCAGCCGTTCGCTATAGATTTTTCCGCTGTGCACCACTCTTAAATGTGCATTACTGAGGTCCGAAAAGTTCAAAAAGCCCGAATTTTCAGGAGTTTCAAGTCCGTCGGCCAATGTGTGCATGCATTTTATGTCACGGACGTTTTTTTCTAGGGTAACACAGCTAAACATGCTCATAACGAACCTCCACGTAACGAATTCCTCAATATAATGAAGCTTTTGTTTCCCGCTGTTACTCGCGATCTCTATGTAACAAAGTAACAGTAACAGAGAGAAACAACCATGAGATAACAAATTTTTCTCACGGACAGTCTAGCAATTTGCCCCGAACGAATTTTGCATTTCCGCACATCCACAGTCGCGGTGGCGGCGCGCCCGTGGCCCCGGCGGCTCCAGGTGAGAGCAAGCACTCGTTATTGTGCACGGGCATGCGCGAGGCGAGCCTGCACCTCATGAACCAGCACTGCCGCTGTTCTTGCCGCCGCGGGTGCATGCTCAGATGACCCCCTCACCCCCCCTCCTCAAAAAAAAAATTTGCCTTGGTAGTGCCACGCCCGGTTTTAGTTAGCGCCACATATGTGGGGCGGTGTTGGATATAGAGGGCGCTTTACCAAATATTTTTTCATGGTATCTGTGTTGTTCGCTTTTCGTTTTTAATGCCGTGTAGACGTGCACGATGTGACCCCTGAGGAGGACATTTTTTTTTTATGTGCAGACAACCGTGTCAACACTACTGCGGGGATGTCAGACTAGGCGCTGATGGAAAAGGTTCGAGACCACTACGACAACAACGGATCTTCGGAGGTCGACTTGTCCCACGTTTCTGTTTATGATGCAATTTCGAGGGACGGTAGCCTACGCAATTGGCTCTGGCAACAAGACAGCGCGTTGAATGTACTGCAATGAATGCAAGAGCAACAAATTGTAATGCTATATGAAGTAAGGCTGGCAGCCAACTATTTTGCATACGATATCCTGGAACTCTTACAAAATATTGGTGCAAGTAAATACGGGCGCTCCAAGGAGAAGTGCTCTTTTCACACAGTCTCTATGCATAGAAAGCGCACTGAGGTTCGTCGAGATGGCACGCGTGCCAGCGATCCTGCCAATACCCTTGAAATCAAAGTTCCCTATTGCGACTGGAGCGACTCCCCCTGCCCCCACGATTTTTTCATGCTCGTTCAAGACGGGTGTTTTCTTTTTTGTTTGAGCATCTGACGGAAGTTCTAACATGCGGGGGAATGTTATTTTACGCCTTCTATAGCGATAGAGATGGGCCGGCTGATTTGATCTCAGCTTCAGCAGCGCTTGCGCGTGTTTACCCGCTCATAAAAGTTACAACACCTGCGGACATGTTCTCAATTTTGCCTTGTTACGGAACATGGGGGCGACGGCAAAAACCTGCTGATAGAGTCCACATAGTTGCTATCGCAATAATCACGTAGTGTTTTTACTTCGAAATAAGCGTTTTGGGTTATATCTGCTTTCAGTTCCCCCTTGTTTCATTTGTGCGTTTATTTCAAAATTTTTTTTTTACTAAACCTGCATGTAAAGAGTTGTCTTCATAACGAATTTTTTCAAGAATTCATCAATTTCGTCACATTAAGGTTTAACTGCAAACCCTAAAAACCTGTGTACAGTCTGGAGCTTTTTTTCTAGATTTTACTATGCTAAATTTCTGCCCTGAACTGCATGCAGAACCCAAGAATTTTTGGCCTGGATTCATAGTTTTGGTTTCCGCAATATGTGGTGCTATCATCATCATCAGGTGCCTAAACGTTTTTGCAGTAGGCAGCGTTGAAGCGTTAGTGATGCTACTTCAACAGGCATGCAACAGTGGCCATTGCAACCACTTGACGGACGTAACAACGACCACAATTTTACGCCTGTGACTTTACGTCTTGCCAGCTCCACGAAGGCAGTATTGGCTGCCTTTAAAAGAAAGGCTATTTTAGCTGCTGAATCCATCAGTGACTGAGGGGCGACAGTTTGGCAGGAACGAGCGGTGCATTCGTGGCTGGAGGAAGCAGAAAGAAGCCCTCTTTGTATGCAGCTGCTAGCAAGAAAGTTTTCGGGGGCTGAGTCATGGAGCTTTTGCCGACGTTGAACAAGAACTGGCGAACTTTCTTTGTTTGAAAGCAATGGGCTGCACAGCTCTCTTTCAGCATCGTGCTGCTGCAAGCAAAAGCAAGGGAAATTACCCGAAATCAAGGCATTGAGCAGGCGGTCTTCACTTCATGCGCCGCGCTATTCTCCCTACGTAGACGTACATCAATATAAGAGAAGCTGCCTAAAAACTATGAAGAGCTGCTTGAGAGCATTCAGAAGCACGTGATTTCCTTGCGAACAGCGGTCTCCTTTCAGCTGAGCCAGATCGGAAACGCTGACCAGATGCCTGTGTACCTCGATATGCCCTTGGCTCCGACAGTTCATGAAAAAGGCTTCAAGCAAGTTACCATGCAATCAACTGAGAATGAGAAAACGCGTGTGACTGTAATGCTGGCCTGCACGGCTGCCAGCCTACATCAGGTGGAAATGAAAGACGCTGCCAAAGGGGAAGGGAAAAAAGTTCCCAAGAAATGCTGCTGTCCGCTGCCAGAACAAGGGGTGGATGGACGAATCGCTTGTACTTGACTGGATAAAGTCCGTGTGGTGTCAACGGCCCGGAGCACTGCTAGGGCCCCCATCAATGCTTGTGCTCAACGCATTTCGGTGTCATCTGGCAGGCTCCGTGAAGCGATTGCTTCACAACTCCCGCACTGAGCTCGTTATCCCGGGAGGAATGACATCCCAGCTGCAGCTGCTTGAAGCCATTTAAGCAACACATCAAGCGCCTGTATATGGAGTGGATGAGGTCTTCAGAGCCGGAAGTGACCACCACCAGACGACTGAAACGGTCTAGACGACTGAAACGGACGACTGAAACAATGAGCAATTTTTTATTATCGAGGTTGCCATATCACCACATCATCATCTGATCATGGCCAGACACCTCTGCTTTAACCGTTACTCTTGTTAAAAGCATCGCCTTACCTGTCCAGATTTATTCAGGTCACTAGAGCAGTCTGGAATGATTTTGGAAAGCTTGATGATCCAGTTATTGATCTTATCCCTCCTCCTCCTCTCCACTGCAAAGAACAGCAGGGTTCACATTAGGACACCTGCACTGTCACATCTTGCATTCCACACAAATCGCACCACGTGAATCTATAAATCAGGCTCCTTTGATGACTTTTTTTTTTCAACAAGAAAGAAAAACAACATGCTGAGATAACTGGCAACCTACATTTGGTCCATCAACACCCTATGTAGTAGATGACGAAACTAAAACAATGCCCATAAAGTAGTACAGCAATATCTTGGTGATACTATCAAAGCTAATACAAATTTCAGAATGATATGACTTTTCTGCTGTCCCGGCCAAGACCCATTGGCCTGCACTGTAATAGAATACAGCTCTTACAAACAAATCTTGATCTAATAAGGTTTCACACAACTGTAGGCTACCGTAGAGAAATTAGAAGATGCCGCCTGCACTGTCGCATAAGACACGTCGATACTGAGCAGGTATGCATCCCGCCCAACCAATTCATTAAAATAGACCAACAGCGGCATGTCTTAGCCTCCAAGATTGCACATGCAAATGTCTGAATTTTGATTACAGATCGCATGAGTGTCTCTTTGCTTGGTTTGTCTCCTTTTTTTACGCATCAACGCACGCTGTTGCACTGTATTTACACATGCCTGCCATGCTGATGCAAGCAATGCCCCCACGATCAGGTGTCCGATGAAATACAGTCAAGGACCAAGAAGAGAAAGCGAACGATCTCGGCAAAGGAGCTAGGCCTCACAACACTAACATGCAAAATTATTGAGGGTGCACACACACCTCCAAACTCTCCGATTTACACAGGAGATTCCCAAATTTTGAGTGAACCACTTGACTGAGCAAACACAACTGTAATTCTCAGCAAAATATCACCAAAACCACAGCGATAAGAGAATAACGACAGAGGACAGAGGTTGTAATACTTTCTGGCTTTCATCTAAGGCATGCCCTGTTGTCCAGCAGCAATCAATGAGCTACACCTTGGAACTCTTGCACTGATGGTTTTAGCAACGTCCTCTTGGTTTCTTTGAGCCTCATTAATCTTTTCCTGCTTGTTTCGTCAATGTTAGCAGCACTGTAATCCCAGCATTGTACTTTGTAAACAACCCCGCTTGGATACTGTACAGACTTGTGTTTATTTCGGCCACTTTCTTTTCCCAGATGGAGAACAGCTTTAGTGCCAACCATATTTGGTATATAATAATAGAGCTCGATATCGTCAATAATTCAATACAACAGTACACTCAAACCTTGGTATAACAAACATGGATAAAACAAAATATCAGTTATGACAAAGATTATGAATATGTGTTTCAAAGGGTACAGGGTTAGGAATATACCTTTAAAACGAAATTTGGGTAAAACAAACTTAATTTTATGCAACATAGAACCTTGTTATGATAAGGTTCTAGTGTATCTCAGTTAAAGGGGGACACAGGTCTTAGAAGGCCGAAAATAGCGAAAAAATAGACTTCTTGAAGCTTAACATTCTTGGAATCTGTATCTGTTTATGCACTTAACTGAGAAGTTCCTAGCTTCTCGCGTCCTTATTTCTGGCACAAAATCAATTTATAACACCCCTGTGAAAGGAATACGAGCACAAGTTGACGCTAAATCGCGCTTTTTCGGCGCCGGACCATTTCCGGTACACACGAGCTATCGTGGTCATCTTGGTCTCGCTTGGAAGGGTCGTTTTTCATCTTCAATTTCTTGCCACCGCTAGCTCATTGGTTTTTCAGTAAAAACGTGTCATTTACAAGCACCAGCACGTGATTCTATAGGCTGCTTGGGGCATGTGACAAAACCTAGACATCCGATTGGCCAAGTGGCATTTGCGGCGTCTGCTTCACCTTCGTGAAGCGCACGGATATGCGCCATTTTGTCATGGTGCTGTCAACTGCCTGCTGCAGTAAGGAAGTTCCGTGCCACCCTAATTCTTGAAGCGGGTGTGGCGATCGTTTGTTCGGCGTGAACTTCAGAAAGAGCCCCGCTATGGTTCAGGATAACGAACTCGCGGTGATTGACGGCGGTCGCCGAGTCACCGGTGTAGGCATAGCTCGCATACGAGCCCGCCGGTTGCAGACATCATCACTGAAAGCGGCCGTGTTTTGCTGCCTCATCAGTTAGAGGACGGCCAGTAAAAGGCAGAAGTGAAGTTAAGAGAGATATCAATCTTTGCAATGACGAAACGGAAGCGCAGTTTTATCGCTAAACGCGCCGATGCCGCGGTCCCCTGCGCTTGATGAAACGACCTTGCTTGTGCGTGAACTGCGTAACGGGTCGTCAGTGTGAAGTACGCCGCGCGTCGACGAACAACAGAATGAATCTGTTTGCAGTGAACGTGCTCGCCGCCCACGCAACGGAGGCTACTGGCAACAGGTAGACTGCTTTTAACGACGTGTTCGCAACGATGTCGCGGTCTCCACTCGAAAATGCGGCAATCTTGCGTGAAAAAAAAACTAACACGATCGGCACTCTTTAGGCTCAAAATTATGAGGGATTGCACAAATTTAGATCGCGACATTAACGTGTGACTCATTACAAGCCGGAAAACATCGCCGTGTCATTTGGCGGATTGCGGATGACGCGTGCACATTCGTCGCACATCGGCGTCGGTACCGTCACCGAACAGATAAGCGGCCTTGTTGAGCACACGGTGACAACTTTTAGGAGGACTTGAACAAACGGCACGCTCATGCAAACAAGCAGTCCAATTACACACCCGGTGCATATTAACTGACTAAAAGTATGTGTGCCATAACTTTTTTCACTTGAAACGGCGAAATGAAGTTTTAGCACTATTTTTCTCAAAACACAGATTTTTACTTTCTTTGTTTGCTTGTTCTGTAAAAGTGGATCTAGGACAGCTAGAGCTGTTTTATTTTTGCCCAATGTAGTTAATGAGCTTTGCCCATACTAGGTGAATGTGTCTTTGGCTTCCTAGTTTAAGCTCATTTTTTAGACTGGCAATTTTTGCAAGGCCAACATTGTACCAGTGCTTCAAAATAGAACTGCCATAAAACCTTGATGATTTGAAGTGACTGGGACTGTGATAAATCTTCGAAGAAAAAAGAGATAGAAAACTCAGACAATGACAAGGGATCACATACCTTCGTTGTGTGTGGCCCTCCTCCTTTCATCTCTGGCTGTCCTGCTTCCTTCAGATTTAGAGCCGAAGCTGTGGGATCGCGGTGCTAATGTCCTTGGTGCAGTCTGCAGAACATCCTGGGGTGACATCATCACATAGAATTGACCTAGGAGAAAGAGTCGCAGCACTATTAGTACTACATGCAGTCTCTGAGAGGCTGTTAATTCATTTCTGTAGGCTTCTTGGCTACAAGATGAAACCACACAACTCCTTCCACGCATATATGGCGTGGAACCTATAATCATGCATTCAAACGAACTAATCTACTTTGTCATTTCATTATAAAACACAAAATATTTTTTTAATAACTGCAAACTCTTCACCCGTGGTATCCAAAACATATTTAATGCACCCACTGTCCAAAAGGTGCACCGTGTTCTTTATTATTTCCAAATACCTGGCCAGTCAGTCATTACCAATGCACTGGCTCAGAGAAAAGACTGAGAATCTAAGGCAATGCCAGAAGCTAGTGCAGGAATTTATACCCAGCTTTATTTTACAAACTTCATAAAATTTCCACTCACAAACAGACCTTCCTAGTGGAAATTGTCAGTGCATGTTGCAAGCAAACCTTGTGGGTGGAAAATCAAGTTCATGCAGTTTCGCAATTTCAGGAACAGTGGCTCAAGAAGCCAGAATATACTTGAAAGGTGATGAACTTACCGTATAGTGCGGAATATAGGTCGAGATTTTTTCCAAAAAATTTCGCTAAAAAGTCACCCCTCGACCTATATACCGGCCCTTGGCATAAACAAAGTGATCGTCTGGCAACAGGGAGTGTCGCATGTTTTTTGGGCATCAGCATCGACATCGCCTCCATGGGCCGACGCCTCTGCCGACGCCATTTTTCTTTTCTTGTTCATTTCGTGTTCGTAGAGAGTGGCGACTTTTACTCTGCGACCAGCTATGAATACCGGGACGCGGCGCCAGTTCACCGCCGCGTTTAAAAGAAAAGTTATAGAATTCGCGGAAGTGAATGGCAACATGGCGGCACAGCGGCAGTTTGGAGTGTCCGAGAAAAGCGTCAGATACTGGCGCAACCAAAAATCCAAACTGTCAGTGTGTAACGCGAGGAAGACGTCGTTTCGCGGTCGCCGAGCTGTGCACCCGGAACTCGAGGACAAAGTGGCGGATTTCGTCCGCGAGTACCGTGCCAAATCCCTTCCCGTGAATGCGGAGCTCATTCGCTCAAAAGCCGTCGAGCTCGCCCGTGAAGCCGGCCTGTCAAAGAAAGACTTCAAGGGATCCATTTATTGGGTCCGTCGCTTTATGCGACGCAAAGGATTTGCGCTTCGACGGCGCACGTCGATATGCCAGAAGCTGCCGGAGATGTACGAGGACAAATTGATAGAGTTTCAACTCTATGTGAACAACCTCCGGCGGCAGCATGGCTACATGCTAGGCCAGATCGGCAACGCCGACGAAACGCCGGTGTGGTTTGACATGCCGTCGTCCACGACTGTTTGTGAACGCGGGGCAAAAGAGGTGAGGCTTTTGTCGACCGGTAGCGAGCATTCGCGCTTCACCGTTATGCTTTGCTGCACGGCCGACGGCAGAAAGTTGCCCCCCTTCATAATCTTCAAGCGGAAGACGATGCCGAAGGAGGCCTTCCCGCGGGATGTCGTCGTCCGCGTCAACGAGAAGGGGTATATGGACGAGGCCCTAATGCGCGAATGGATCCGCACAGTGTGGAACCGGCGGCCCGGAGCCCTCCTGCAGCGCCGGAACATGCTCGTGTTGGATGCATTTCGCGGGCATTTGACAGCATCGGTGAAGGAGAGCCTTCGCGACGGAAGGACGGATCTTGTCGTCATTCCGGGAGGAATGACATCAACACTTCAACCGTTGGACGTCGTCCTCAATAAACCTTTTAAAGACCGTGTGCGTGCGCTGTACACCGAATGGATGGCTGGCGACAACCCGCGGACCCCGACAGGCCGGCTGCGCAGGCCACCTCTCGCGACAGTTTGTGGTTGGGTCTCCGAGGCATGGAGGTCTCTGCCTGAAGAGATGGTGGTGCGCGCATTCAAGAAGTGCTGCATCAGCAACGCTCTCGACGGCACCGAGGACGACATGCTGTGGGAGGCGGCTAGTGACAAGCAGTCGTCGTCGTCGGAGAGCTCCGACAGCTCGGAGGACTGTGAGGACTGACTAAAGTGAAGCAGTGAACGATTCCGCGTTTTTCTTTTTTTTTTTTGCTGGTCAAGGTAAGGGGGTCGACCTATATTCCGCCTCGACCTATATTCCGCATTATACGGTATATTGATAGCACTGTTTTCATGTTAAAAAGACGGGACGAGCAAAGATTGAATCAAGATAGAAGTTGGGACATCCCAACACCATTTGTGGCACCCCCGAGTCCTTTTCTTCACAGTGTTTACATGCTATTTTTAACATGAATACCAAGTAACTATATCAGCTCTCCTAGTGATCTCTACGATAAAGTTGTAGAAGCGTTCATAAGCTTAAAAGAAAGTGTGACGCGAACAATACACTATAAACAACGTAAATTGAATAATAAATGGATGTCAACACATTTACTCGCTGCAATAAAAGAAAAGGACTTGCTTTGGACACAACGTAAACGTTATCCTAATTGTTCAGACTTGCGAGCCAAATTTAAGCAAAGCAGAAACAAGGTTAATGCTATGATTCGCTCGGCTAAACGAAACCATTTTCGAGTCAAATTTAAGGATGCCAGTAACAGCAGCAAAAAAACCTCGGCGTTAATTAACACCTTTAGAGGCGCAAACACTCGCGTCAATATCTTGAATAACGTTTTTTCGAGTCAAGCCAATATCACACAGGAGATTGCTGATGAATTTAACAACTTTTTCTCTCGAACAATTGAAAACACAAATTCCCAGGTAGGCCCGTGCACTTTACGTCACAGTGTTAGCAAATCGGCTCATCTACCTTCAATCTCACAAGAGGACTTACGACCTATCATTTTCAGTTTAAAGTGTAAAAAATCTGCTGGTATTGATGGTGTTTCTATAACTGACTTGCGCCGCTTATTTGAATACACCCATGAAGTTCTGCTAGCACTACTAAATCGCTTTATTTCTAGTGAGGAAATTCCCATAAACTTGAAAACATCAATAGTTATACCTCTACACAAAAGCGGTGCGCGTGATAAAATTGAAAATTATCGTCCGATATCAATTCTGCCTTCTATAGCACAAATACTAGAAAAACATTTGTTGTTAACGATGACAAGCTTTCTCGATAGTCACAACATTTTATCGCCTTGCCAGTATGGTTTTCGACAGGGAAAAAGCACTCAGACGCTATTGGAAGACTTCTCTGATCAGTTTAACGAGGTGTTTGATAACAACAAAGTTGCCTGTGCGCTCCTCCTTCTTGACTGCAGCAAGGCTTTGGATAGTGTCCATCATACCTTGTTATTGGACAAACTTTTTCAGTTAGGGTTTAGGGGTGCTTTCTGGTCTTTGTTGGCAAATTTCCTCCAACGCAGACGTCAACTTGTATCCGTTGAACAATCTCACAGCGCGTTCCAAATCATCAAAACCGGCATTCCACAGAGATCAATTCTTAGTCCGCTGCTATTCAATATTTTTGTAAATGACCTTCACAGCGCGATACCGGTTTCTCTATATCAATACGCCCACGACACTGCTATCGTGACAACTACAAACAACTTTTATGAGGCGATTACTCTTCTTCAGTCAGCTGCCACTAAAGCCATGGATTGGTTTCGAGATAACCTTATTAATATAAATGTGTCTAAAACTAATCTAATCTGCCTTCATAATCCATTGAAGAATGTAACCCTTGACTATCCTTTCATTTTGCATTGTTCTGACTGTTCATCCTGCTCTTGTAGGCCATTACAGTATTCATCTGTTGTGAAATACCTTGGCTTATACATTGACAGCGACCTTTCCTGGAATAGTCATCTCGCCTATGTTTGCAAAAGACTTCGTGCTGTGTGATGTCTATTATATACTATAAGATACAACATGCCGTTTTCAGTACGTAAGATGATAGCACACGCTTTAGGTTACAGTATACTGCGTTACGGAATAACCATTTACGGACACTGTGCTGTCCGATGGCACAATAGAATAAACAGAATATTGCGTTCGATTTTAAAAAATATATCTTACGACCTGAACATGAATTCTGAGAGAGACATTTTCAAAACGCTGTTTATGCCAAACTTCAATGATCTGTTAATTCAAACGGTTGTTTAAAACATTTCTGGTCCAAAGAATTCCTGGTTCCGTTTGTTACTTCTCATTCTTCAAGGCCCAAAGTACGCTACTGGAGGCCGCGGTGTTCAACAAAGTATGGAACTAGAATACGAGCCCATTATGTCCCAACCTATTTCAATGTACTACCCTCCAGCATTTTTCGCACAAAAACAAAATACAAATAAAGAAACTGCTACGGCGTATCTGTCTACAATTGTAATGCATGTGCGTTATTTCATTTACACTCATTCGCAAGCATGATGCTGCACAATCATCCAGTGTGGTACTTTGCTTAAGAAGCATTTGCTATAATTCTGTTCTTTTTTCCTTTATACCTTTTCACTTTCAATTGCTGTAACTATTGTATAATGCTTGTAACTATTGCTTGTATGCCCTGTTGTTTCGAATCTTATATGCACGTTGCTTTTTGTCCTATCGTCCCTCTTAGGCCATGGAAAACAATCTTGTAACGCGTCTGGTTTGTTTTGCTGTCGGCCAGGCTCTGCCACTCAAGCCACCTATTGGCTTTGGCAGGCCTAGTCACATGTACCGTTTTATTTGAAGAAATAAGAGGTATTATTATTATTATTATTATTATTTTATACTAAGCAGCGTATTATCTGACCAAAATATGGTCCGTGGTTCTATCAGTCACATATTGCAGTGAGCATTTAGCTTACCAACAAAATTCGCGAGCACGGCGTTGCATGCAAGGACGCATAGACACAAATCTGTTGGTAGTGTCCCTATAGGTGCCGCCATAATATGAGCGCCTGGTGCCATTTACTAACCCCCTTCAGCAGTTGGGCTGGAGCCTCCATTGGCCGTGGTGGCTGCAAAGGGGCTGGAAATAATGGCTTGTGCCACTTGCTGGCCAACAAGTGCCGCCGTGGTGACCACTTGGCCGCTGGTAGCCTCAGTGCCTTCCGGCGCGGCTGCCACCTGGACCACGCGGTAGGTGACCCCTCCCTGGCCATTCTCGGTGCGGAACTGGTACTGGATGCCAGGATCCAAGAGGGCCTGCGGCGCAACGCTGGCTATGGCCGCAGCCTGGCTGTCCACTTCCACGCCTTCCGCCACTGCATAGATTGCTACAAGGCGTGAAAAGCAGGGCCGGCAATTGCAAGCATGCTACGCAATAGCAAGCACCACAAAATGAGCCTGCCTACGAGGACGTGTGATTTGTGACGGGTTGCATTTGACGAGACACAACCTCCAATACGCGTAAAGCTCCCCCAACTCGCTGCTGCTAATAGAACACAAGTTCAATGTCAAAGCATGGCAAATGGAAGTACCTAAAAAAGGCATGCCAACATTTTTTTTCAAATAATCACCGAAAGGCCTCATTAAAGAAGTTCCTTGCCGCACAGACCGAATGCGGCAAAATGTTTAGGATTTGTGAAGCATAAGCTGAGTTGCACAGTTTTTTTTTTTTTTTTTTTCACAAAATGGTGTTTAATGGGGTACTGACGCAAAAATTTTGGCCTCACATTTTCCTGCTGAAATGCGTTACTGGCGGCCTGTTAGTCATGACACAACACATCGTTTGGTGCAGCACGCCTCAGATAATTATTTACAGTCCCCTCATTATCAATCAATATCAGTTTCTGTTTCAAAGAGTTCCAAAAACTAGGTGCAACTGTCACCACCTAGCGTGTGCAGCTCTTGACCACATCAGCACACAGAACTGTGACGCACTTCCGCACGACCCGCATCAAGAATTACTTTGGAATAGGAAACAGGACCAGAATGTCGCCAAACACAAAACTTTCTAAGCGTGTGCCATGGCCATGCACTCGCAACCAGCCGCCGAAAAATATAGACTTTGGGAACTGACGTGGCAAAAGAAAAATGGCGTCATTATAACTTGTTCTGTTGACCTCAGCGTGGTGACGTGAGGGAAGCAGAGGGTCACCTTCTAAGGTGTCTATAGCGCTATGGAGTCGATCACTTATGCAAACTTCAAAATTAATTTTAAATGCCTTCCAAGCTATATTCGCTGTTGATATCTAGCAGATGATATACGAATGTTCTCGATAATCGACCCCACAGCCTATTTCGGCCCCAAAATTTTGTGCCAGTACCCCTATAAAGGTCTTTTTTTTCTTCAAGTTAATCTCACCAAAGGCTAACATGCTTAAGTGAAGAAACCACCTAGGTACAGTGGTTCATCGTAAACAATGCTGACCTCTGGCATTAATGTGCGAGAATTTTGTTCTCTACATCTTTTCTTTTCACTTATCATTTGTCAGCACAAGCGTCCAGTAATGCAACAAGGTTTGGCTGCATGCCAGCCAGTGATAGCGGGCATAAAGAAATGAAAAAGGTTGCACAAGATTGCTCCCCCTTCTACAAAGTTGTTCATTTTAGCTAGATATTACCTTCGAAGTAGTAAAGCATGCATTCCAGTCCCGACTGCTGCCACTACATCGCAATGCAACTTGAGGCAAATGAATAGAGCTACCACGACTTCTTATATTTATGCCCGTGCACATCAAAAGCCTTCAATGATGCAAGAAGTGTTTTTCAAAGTGTGCCACAGCTGCTTTGTGATCATTCCGTCACAGCCATTGCAGCTGCTCAGACAGGTTTCCAGATGGCGGCTTGCACTTGTTATCAAAAAATAAAGCATAAACAGTACGACCTGAACATTAAACTTTGAGGTTTTGCACACCAACATGGAAACTCAATTGTGTGGTTTAAGATTCATTCCTGAAAGCTTTTCTAGTTCTTTTTACCGTCAATATCGTTGTACACAGCCAACATGCAGCTATGCACTTTAAGCACTCAAACATAGTAAGCATCAGCACTTTCAAGTGCTTGAGTGACGACACGTTGCTTACAAGGGTACAGGCTCTTACAGCTTTTTTTTAATATGAATTAGAAGCGAAGCAATAAGCAATTCAAAGACAATCAAGATGTGTGTATTGGGTGACCTTATTAAGCACTTTTTCTTGGTTGACAGATACCTAGTTTGAAATGAGCAACTTTCTCTTTTTAATTTGCAAGCCCTTTCATAGGTTTCTTTCAGTATTTATATGTCACTTATACATGAGCCTTTCCAGTCGTTAAATGGCACTATGATATGCAGTTTCTTCAAACGTACTGTACATTTCGAAGGGTAAACGCCACCTATAGCAGCCTCAACAAGCGATCCTTTTTAATACAGAAATTGACTTTAAAACCAACAGCAGTATCAGTTCTTGCATTCTTGATCGATCAATGGTTGTCACTGCACTGAGAAAACACTGGGCAATCATCAATGTCAAATGCAGTAAAATTTCCTCTTGTCCATAATACTCGGACATGCCTATTTTGCTATAAATATATATAAAAAAAAGGACTGAACTCACTACCACTTTCTTCTTGCTCGTGTTTTGCAAAAGGTACTTTTTAAGGTCCTGTCCCCACCTACTTGCAGCTGCAGAAAGCAGTTGTTTTGGGAGGACACTGCTGTATGTTAGACAACAAGCAGGCCTTTCCAGAATGACTGCTTTTCGAGTCTGCCTGCGAGTGGTAAAAATATGTATGGTACTGCCATGTTCACCAGCATCCAGTTTCTCTCACAAACAAATGAAACTTTGCAGTTTTCCTTAAAACCAGGTAAGCAAGAGCCAATTGTTCCACTGACCATTTAAGGCTATAAAATACTTTTACTCTCTTTCTTCGCTAAACTTGAGTAACTGAGCTTTTGCAAGTACAAAATCTTTCTCGGGCTTCAAGCTACATAAGAGTGTCCTATAGAGCCGCAAACTGTAGAGGCTCTCGCAAAAATAAGTCTTTGCCCGATTAACTGTGCAAAGAAAGCAGTCTGAAGTAATTATAGAATAAAGGTAGTGCCGTATATAAAAGCTCAGTGAATAACTCGAACTCATCTTGGGTTGATTGAAAGTTTGACTAAGTGGGGATTTATTGTGGGCACCTGTATGTATTGCCTTTTTCCACATTTGAGAAGCCTTTTTTCTTTATCTATATGCCATGAAGAAATCTTCAAGAAAGTATATAGTAAAACAAAATGCAGTCATGCGAGTCTAGTGGGACAACCTTTATTGACACATCTAAAAATACACACACATCCTTTTGTGGCATTAGGAAATACCAACTTATTTCAAGCTATCAGTGAGATGAGAAACATGTGCGGGCCTTGGCTGACGGCACCATGTGAAACATAAGCAGACAAGCATAACATATAATTTCATTTAAGCGCAAATTCAAAGTAAACTACGATCCATCAGCTTAAGATTTGCAGTCACTATATAAAGCAGCAATGGGTTTCAGAAGGGGTGCGCTATGAAGGGACAATCGCAGTCACTACACGTAGTCGGCACACATTTCTTGCAAAAAGAAAAAAAAAATCGCAGAGTTCACGAAAAAACAACATATGTCATCAAGGTGAAGAGTTTGGTGCTTACCATCGGAGGGGATATGTGATGCATCATCCGATGCCGAGTCGTTCTTGTCTTGGGAACTGTAACAAAAGAAGAGCGGGTAAGGAAACGCGTTTATTGTAGCAGACCGTCACTTTTAAAGACGTGAACTAAAGCGTGCGCTATGAAATCGTGGCACGAGGAACGAATGAAGCCATTCCTCTTGGTTCCAACCAACCAAACAATGAATGAATGGAGCGGCACTTTCGCCCGCAAATGCACCGATTGCCGAGCCAGGAGAGCAGCAGGGTTCGAGCGTTCCCAGAGTCGTTACGCGTCGGGAAGTGTTAAATTTGCGACCGCTCACAGGTGCGTGTTCTCAGAGAAGAGAGTGTGGGGGTGGGCAATGTCTATATTTCCAAGCGAGTGGTCTTTTTTCCTATTTCTTCCATTTTATTCCCGTCCACCGATCGCCAAGAGTTGCGGCGTTCGCAGTGACGCAAACATCGACACGGGCGAAACTAAATTCGCGGCATCCGCTTTTCCCACGTTGGGGGGATCGAGAGCTCGTCCGCCTTGGAATATCGCCGACGGCACGACTGTCTCCGCTGGCTGATATGCAGATGGCGTTAAAGACCTACGTGCGCCATCGTACGAGGTTTTTCACGCATTCGGAAAACGGCACTAAACAATTAATAAAAGTACTCTACGCATCGCAACACTTGCGGCTACGAAAACTGAACGGGCTACGCCGGTACATCTGGGGCGTTGAAACGTCCCGAGGTCGCTCGCCGGTAATCGTGCAGCCCTAGCTGTTGGCGAAAAAAAAAAAAAGTTGAGGGCGTTGCGTAAGTCAAGGACTTTGGACAGTTCACCAAACGACGCACCGGCGATAACTCGTGGTGATTCCGCTCATAAATTTCATTCACAGAAGACATGGCCACGATGAGCGTCGAGAAAAAAAAGCGAGACGAGTGAAACCTGCTGGCAGGAAGAGGGAATCGCCAGTTGCCCACCTAACCCTCGAGTCGGTTTAATTCGTGCGACGTGCACATTTCGTTTGATTCCCACAAATGAAACGTGATAGCCGAGCTAGTTTCTACGCCCCGGAAGCGATACACAAGGCCTCCCGAAAGCCCGACCGATGCCACGAACCCGGCAATGTTCCGCTTTCGCGGTGCTCTTTCCAGATTGGTATTACGCCGTTGTCGCCTCCGACAGAGCTCCCTACGCATCTACAACGAGCGCTTTTTACAACAGAAATTCGCTTACTTGCTGTCCAACGCTTGATCCAGCATATCCATGTGGTTAGGAATGAATGTTTTGAATTTGCCAGGAAGCGAGGTGATCACGGGGCCAAACAACAGGTCATGTGAGCCATAGCCTCCTATATTTTTTTGTGCCCGCGCATTAGCGCTAAATACATACGCGCCATCCGTCCCTTATAGTTTTGGCGCTCGCCGCCAGATGCCGCACCGATCCCATAATAACAGCAGACGACGCGGCCTATGCACGCTTGCGTTTATGACGGTCTAGAAACCGTCTACATTGCATTGGTTTATGCGTATACGTTAAGAAGTGCGCACACACCAAATTTTTAACACAAGCACTGTATGCAGAATGCAATGTGAGCTTTGTTATTTGATTTCGCGCTCAAAGCTTGAGCACTTTTCGAGACAATGGTTTGACATGAAAATATTTTGCCAAGTCGTGTTTGTCAGTCACACTCGTCGCGAAGTTCAGAAAAAGTGGGCGGAGAAACTTCACGAGCACAACCTCCAAAAGTTTTTTATGATGTCCCGGGGTCGAGCACTTGAGTTTGTCACGTTTCTGTAGTATTTGCGCGGCGTTGTCAACGGCAGCCTTCAGTGGCTGATTCATCTTTCTCGCTCTTGCGAGGAAAACTTCCGCGTAATTCTTTAGAGAATTTAGAACCATTACGAGCTCAGTTGACGGATACAGGAGTACACCTGGGTGGATATCTCCACATTCAATCAGAACATGCTCCGCCGTTTCCTTATCTTTCCCGCAGCATGTGCATTGTTCTTCTCTTTACTGAATCTTGCTTTATAACTACGCGTTCTAAGGCAACCCGATCTCGCTTCAAACAGTAAAGCGCTTCCCCTTGAATTATCGTAAAATGCCTCCCTCCTTATTTCATTTTTGCCCTTTCGGTAGTTACTCAAAGCCGGTTTTTTCTCCATAGCTGCCATCCATTCTCTCGTTTTGCGCCTCGGCGCTCCGCCAGGAGCGCTCGCATCCCATAATAGCTCGGGGGACGGCGCTGAGGGACCGACCGCTCGGGCACAAAGTTATACAGGAGGCTATGTGTGAGCCCAAAACCTAGACATGTGACAATATGGCGACCTCTTGGCGTCTTCCTCGCAAATTGCACAGCGCGTGTAACTACGCGTTAATATTCTTAGCACCTAATGACAATTTTCAGGCTCCTTAGAACTTCTAGTCGTTGTTCAGCCTTTTACGCGGGTAAAAAGACGTTAACTATTAGTTGTTTATTAGGAATAACAACTTTGAACGTGGGACTATATTTTTGCGCACTCAAATTACTAAGCTCCAATTCGCGAAGTAAAAATAACAAAAAATATTTATTTTGTAACACCAACATTTAACGCAAGGCAAAAATTAAAAAAATATTTTAATTACATCGCAAATTAGCTTCTCGACGGTCAAAAACGCTTCGCGTTAGCGCTTGCGACCTTGACTTTCGAGGTCAAAATTATTTTTTTTATTGAAGAGCCAATCGTGCCGGCCCGGAAGTTTGCCTAGCCTTTACCCTAAACGTCACTTCCTGCAAACACGTTTACTACGTTTACCAGCCGACTGCTGCCGAGTCCATTCGCCGTGCTCGGACTGTCTACCTTGAGTGCATAGTTTTATTTCGTCGCCGATATTTTGGTGTTGTGAAAATGCTCGACCTTTTTACGATATTCAGCAAAAGCGGGATTGTGTTGTGGTGTTTCCAAGGCACGACGCAGTTCTTCACCCCGTCAGTGAATGCCTTGATACGCACCGTTATATTACAGGCAAGTTCCATATGTCGCGCAAGAAGTCTAGCTTATGAAGTACTAATGACTAATGTACTCTGAGAAAATGCGTATCGTAGCGTCGTATGCGTGGCAGCATTTGCGATGTTCTGACGAGTGTCCGATGCGAGCGGCAAGCGCCTCGCAACTGCGTAATACGTGTTCGTTCTTTCCGTATAAGTTGTTGATTTGCATACGAGGAATTCCTCGCGGCTTTTCTTGCTCCCTTTAACCTGTGACCCCGACATAATCTCACTGCAGGAGAGGGGTGGCGACAACTCCTTCACTCACGAGAACCTCGTTCTCAAGTACAAATTGGACAACGAGTTTGAGCTCGTCTTCGTTGTGAGTATCTGCATCACCCAACTCTATATTTCGACGTTGCGTGTGCTCGAAATTGTATGGCACGATTACTGAATCGCAGCGTGTTTGATGATGATGCTACGATTGTCATGCCCTGGGTCGTGAACCGTGGTTCATGAGGGGACACAGTGGCGAGGATTGTGAATGCAGTGTAAAGATGCTCTCGTTTTTCTCAGTTTCTCACTCTGGCTCAAATGTGGCAGTATTTATGCGTGCAAGGATTCCTGCTTGCTGTACTCGCCGATTAAAACATTATTGTCACGTGTGTGTGCAAAGATATTCGTTTTTAGAGCTCGCATACGACAGTGATAGAAGTGCTGCTCCAAAACAGAAATGCTGCTCCAAAGTGCAATATTTGTTAGTAACTGCTCCAAAATGGTGTTGGCAAACTAAAAAGAATAAAGTTGATGCATGGGACCATCCCGTGAGCCTAAGCGAAACCAAAAGCAAGCTGTATACAGTGTCATCCTAGTATGCAACTCAGTGGCATAAATACAGAAAAAAAGTCGCAAGGGGTGACACATATCAAGCCATAATGGCCAATTCGTATTTTTTAAATGGGTTGTATTTTTATTTATATAAGAATTAAATGATGGTTTCAAATAAAATTACAGAAAAACAAGCATGGGGTCAGAGCTCCAGCCATTGCATTGTTCTATTCAGCCTCTTTTTTTCATTTTCTTGCGAACTCCATAGTTCACGCAGCCAAGCGGCATTTAACACAGGTACAGAGTAAAAGATAAAATGCCTTTTAAAAAGTTGATTGTGCTATACTTAATTGTTAACTCATTTATATCACGTGCTAAAGCTGAGTCTCAAGGGGGACACTTGCAAGGGCTGTCCTCCTCTGCCTGAACACAAAAAAAGTCCGGACTCCCTTGAACCCCCCTCCCCCCAAATTTTGGGCAATGATACTACTATACTGCTTGTATACTAGTTACATACTACCATATGGAATGTTTAATAGTAAATGTAAATATTTATTAGATGCTTAAGTGATGTTTTAGACTTTAGGAGTCGTTAGGAACATGCATCTGCTCCGAAAACACCAATAGCAACCCTAAGCTGTAGCATCTTTTTCTGTTCTGAAGACACTTAAGGCTGTTTCAAGGCATTATTTTTCTGCTCCAGAATCTGCTCCAAAAAGCAAAATTTCGCTTCCATTACTGATAACATCGTAGTATTGCATTGTTTACGATCGTATGCCCTTGACTTCGGTGTTAAGTTGTAGTCTGGCAGACTAAAATAAAAATAAAAGGGAGATCATTAACGTTTCATTTTGCCTACTCCGCCCTACAGCACACTAGTGTCACGAAGAGTAGCTGCCACTGGGATGTGGATCTAAGAGGAATTATGTGTATGTAACTTGATAAGCATACCTAGAGGAGCGTCAGTAAAGTAGTAGGGTAGATGTTGTGGAGGCAAAAAAACAAGCATGTGATTTGGTCCCACAAAAGTACTTACATGCATGCACTTTATCAATCATGGGATTGAGCTACAAATCAAGGTCGGACATGTTTTTCAAGCAACACTAATCACACAGGTTGATTAAGACATTGAACACAGGAGATCATTGTGTTTGTTACACATCTGCTATCTTCTCTTAGGTTAATGATGAGGCTTGAAGATTGCAAAATAAGGCTGAATGGACTGAAGTTTTATTGAGTACTGAGGCACTAACAAAGCATTCATCATTTGTCCAGGCTGGGATGAATTTTTTTTCAATTTCCAGATCATGTTTATGAAAAATGTATGGCACTGCCTCGACACGAGGGCCAACCAGAACTGAAGGCATGTGCATACCATAGCTATCCCTACCACACTATCTGCATACCGGAATATGAAAAGCATTCAGTTAGTACCCTTACCTGCACAGTAGTGTGAACTGAGTGTGACAGCGTCGTAGTGGACTATACATTACGGGAATCTGCTTGTTGATTGAAAAACTTCTTTTGAAAGCGTCCCTTTGATTGCACTAGATAGCTTGCATGTGGCACCATGGGCACAGCTCTTGATGTAGAGGCAGTCCACAATGGTGGCTTTGATGATAAACAAGTTGCTGCTAAACTGCTTCATAGTGATTACGACGTAGCAGGAACACCGGTGTATATGAATAATACAAGAACCTGCATGGGATGTTTCAATAGCATTAATGTGGCGTCGGAAATATCTGGTCGCCCCTAGCTGGTGCTCCAACACTGTGGTCTTAGTGACGTCAATGCCAGCCAATCTATAAAATCATTCCTCAAAACTGTGTTGCTAATATTTGTCACTTTCGCTCGCTCAGGTTGCCTACCAAAAGGTGCTGCAACTGTCATACGTAGATAAGTTCCTCGACGATGTCCACCTGGAGTTCAGGGACAAGTACAAGGCATGCCTGGAATCTGGCAATTTTTTCAGCAACTTCAGCTTCAGCTCAGAATTTCAGGAGGTGGGTAAGCACTGTTGCCATCTCTTCTGGTGAAGTGATGTGCTCGGCGATGCAAATTTCCTTTCATAGTGGTGTTAAGTAGTTCAATATTTGTCATTTACTTCATCGTGCAATGCCATTCAGAGTGGCGTTAAGTAGTATCATAGTGGTGTTAAATAGTGCAATATTTGTCATTTACCTCATCGTGCAATGCTGTTTGGAGTAAACATTCGTAAACGTGTTCAAGCAATCTGCTCTTCACGGTACAAAAAAAAAAAAAAAACAGAAGTCATATTCATTTGTGGGCATGCAAGGACGCAACATTTTTTTTCCTCATCTTGCCTGTCCTGCTTAGCTCTAGAAGAAGGACTGAAACAAAGTACAAAGCCTATGAGTGCAAGAGCCGTCATCTTATCTAGAAGAAAACTAATTCTGGATAATCTCTGAAACTGGGAAATCGAAAGTGCTGGAATATAAAGGCATCCATTCTCACTGTGCCCAATAATTTCGTTGCAGAAGTGAAGCAAGGATTGAAAAGTTTTGGCAGCTCTTTAGATGACTGTGCTGTGAAAGCACACTGTTCTAGGCCACTGTAGTATGTGCGGTGCAGCTTCTTTTTTCTCCTTCTTGGGCTACAAATTTCTCATGAAGCATTTCTTTTTCTGTGACCGACGTTACTTGACCCTGGGGTCAGCCGCAGGCATCAAATCAGTCAGGGGGCTGATATCATTAGAGAATTTTAGTTTGTCTATAGACTAGTTACTGAAAAGTATATGTGGTACCGTAATTACTCGAATCTAACGCGCACCTTTTTTCCGGTTAGGCGAGTTCATAAATCGCATGCGCGTTAGAATCGAGTACGAACAAAAAAATTACGGTCAATCTATTGCCATCGGCAAATTCAAAATGGCAGCCCCCTACGTGCGTCGGCATGGCGCGTCGGCCATTTCTGCCTATGTGTTTCCCATGTGCGGCACTTCGTACGTGTGCTGAGGAGTTCGTCATCTAGTAGTGCATTAGCATCGACGGCGTGTAAGGGCCGACTCTAAAAACTAGAGTGCACCACGATGCCGCTTTTAAAAGAAAAGTCATCGCGTGTGCAGAAACAGACGGAAATCGGGCCGCATCGCGGTCGTTCGGAGTTCCCGAAACGTGCGTGCGGGACCGGCGGAAACAAAAGCAGAAGATTGTCGACAGCAAAGCTTCACGCAAAGGCTTCAGTGGACCACAGCAGGGTCGGTTTCCGCAAATTAAAGAGCTGCTTGGCGAGTATGTGCTTAAGCAGCGAGCGGCACAGCGGCCCGTGACGACAGAACTGCTCCAAGTGCGGGCTATGCAATTAGTCTTAGAAAAAGGTCTAATGCGGAGCCAGTTTAAAGCGAGCAGGTGCTGGCTAACTAACTTTATGAAAAGGAAAGGCTTTTCCCTCCGAAGGGGAACATGCATATGCGAAAAGTTTTGCGGAGGAGTACGATGAAAAGCTTCACAGTTTTCAGAGGTTCGTCCTAAACTTGCGGCGCAACAACGGCTACCTGCTTGGGCAAATCGGGAATGCCGATCAGACGCCTCTTTACTTCGACATGCCTGGCACCACAACCGTCGAGAAGAAGGGGGTGAAGCAAGTTCCATGCTGACATCGGTCCACGGTAAAACTACAGTGACGGCAATGCTCTGTTACACGTCAGATGGGCACAATCTTCGCCCGTACCTCATATTTAAATGGAAGACGCTTCCGAAAGGAGTCGTTTTTTCGAGTGGTGTGATCGTGCGGGCCAGCGAGAAAAATGGGTGCGCGTTGCAATCGATGTCTTACGTTTTTTTTTTTTTTTTTTTTTTTTTTTCACGGTGGAAATCGGGTGCGCGCTACAATCGAGGGCGCGGTAGAATCGAGTAACTACGGTAAGTTACACTGGTAGTGACACCTGATGATGCAGCACCTTACAGCGACACACAAAGCACTCAGACTTCATTATAACAAAGTTGCTTCTTACAGAAAAATAAGTTTGTTGTATCAGGAAATTCGTTTTAGATGTTCATTCTTAACACTATTGTGAGACTATTTTTCATTTACTTCATTACAACCGATATTTCATTATTTCAGGATTTATGATATCAAAGTTTAGTGTATTGTGGTGACTTGCACATTTGATAATTGTTGAGGTTTTACGTCCCAAAAACATGTTAAGAATATGCTTTTTTTATTGCTTCTTTATTATCAGGTAACCTTTAAAAAAAATTTCTATGGAGTTGCATTCATTGAAAGGCATTACACACATTCCATTGCATTGTCACTTTTAAATAAAAGGTGCAGCAAGGTCCCTTTAAAATGTAAATCAGTTGCAAACACCTGTGAAAAGTGTGTGCAGGGAATGGCTCTCAGTGTGTCATCAAAAGTAATCATTACCACTCAAAGCTTTTTGACTGTGCTGGGTGTGTCAGCAACCAATAGATCACACATTTCGCACTTCATTAAAGGGACCCTGAGATGGATTTTTTGAAGCTTTGTCACCGTTTAGGCTAGAGCATCATCAAACCATTCGCACCACAAATTTAGTGACATGCCGTGTACCAAAGCGGCTACGGACAATTATATCATACCCTCCTTCTCACCTCTGCCTGGCCTCTTCAGGTCATGAGGCACGCTGGCATCACTGGCGATCGCAGAGCTCTCATGAGCGCACTCCACGATTTGAGCTTTTACCAGTCTAGAACTCCGAGATGGCACACTGACAGGTTGGTTATGCACAGTCTCGTAGGCCATCACATAGTGTGCACAGCTGCCTGGCAACAGAGATGATCAGGAAGTGGTTCATATCTGCTCCGATAGGTGCCACCACCCGACCAGCTGATCTTCCGCACATACTTCTGCCCATGACAGCTAATGCGATCAGCAGTCAGGGTAATGGGGCTGCTGATGTACTCTGGCCTCGTAAAGTGACCAGAGCATGTCGCTCTGTGAATGGGCATTTGAAAACCTGTTTCGTCAAGTGGCAATCTACTTCAAGGCTTCTTTATAATTTCCCAGCACCTGGGTCTGAAGCTCTACTACCAATTAATGAGCATCTTTATGAGAATTGTAAAAAATGCACACCGTGATTGGTGCTTTTTGAAGAAACTGAATGTTTCAGTTTTTTACATTTTTCTCAGAAAATTGAAGTTATGGCTGTTCAATTATGAGGCCTTAATCTCTCTGCAGCTAGAGCAGGCACAACAATATTTTTTTTTTTGCAATATAAACCTGTACATGTATAGAATGCAAGTATGGGGGCAGAATTTGGAGCACAAACCTTCTTTTAATAAATACTTATGAAAATTGGAACACAATTAAAACAGCTCTTGAAAATAGAAAGGTAATTTTGCTATAAAATAACCAAAAAAGGCCAAAAAACAAAAAAAACTCTTGCATACTTTCAATCTCTAGTCATTAGTCTATGTTGTCATATCTTAAATATTAGGCTTGTGCAAATACTAGTGCATTTTAAGTTCAAAGCGAATAGTGATTTTGATCGAATACATTTGAATCGAAATTGAATGGTATGTATGACATAAAAAAAAAAGGGAATATTTATCATGACTTAACTACCCTGTACAATATTTTTTTTAAATTGAAATAGGGGCTCTATGCAAATGTCATTTTTTTTTTCATTCAAAGGAAGTTGAAACAACCTTGAATAGTAGTTTCGTGGGATGCGAGTGATAACCTGTAAGATGCTTAACGTCTTAAAATTTCTTATACTTGGAGCATATAAGCCATCATAACCACCTTAATAAAATGAACTATTGATTTGAGGGTAACATATTTCTTTAAAGGGGGCCCTGCAACACTTTTTCAAGTAGCAATGGAGCCAGTAAACATGCTTGTTGCCTCACAAATTTACCGCTGCAAAGTTTCTAGAATCAGTTCAGTACAAGTGGAGTTCCAAAATTTGTCGCATGCTGCAATTGCATTCTCTCTTCTTGTCCCGATGAAATAGCTGGAAGTTAAGCACGGAGGAATGGCATGGTGAAAGAAGATACGACGCATGCACCTCGTGACTTTGAGCACCTCTTTTTTTTTTTTCCGAATGCGCGGATTTTTAGTGTGATCGTGCACGTACTTGTGGACAAGCAGTGGCCTCCCGCGGAGGTCTCGGTAACGACGAGCGCGCCATGCTCAGATCAGCCAGTGGCTGTGACCAGAGCCGTATATTCCTTCTTGGCTGTGACAAGTGATCTTTGAGCTTGTAGTGTCATTTGCCGAGGGAATAAAGCAATTTTTAGCTTTGAAAGTTTATTGTGAATTACAGGCCGCGCGCTGCGCTGTAATATTTGCCTCGCGTGTTCTCGGTAGGCTCGACTACTGATCGGCAGCGTTTTCTGACCACGTTCAGTAAGTGTTGCAGGGCCCCTTTAAATTTGAAGGGGTATTCGCGGCAAAGTGAATTTTTTTTATAGGTGCTTTCCCGGCTTAGCACTCCTACACTGTAGTGAAACCACCTTTACGGGCAATGACTTGCGGACTATTATACACCTATTCGTCCATTGGGAATACTTCGAAAATACTCAGTAATTTAAATTTGAATTGAAGGGAATTCGAATACTCAACTATTTGTTCGAATATTCGAAGCATTCGTATGTTCGCACAAGCCTAATAAGTATCACTTTTAATTAAGCACTTTTTTATGGTGGCCTTAAACAATAGGGGGTGAACTTAAGTTATCTAAGGAACAAAATGAGTTGCAGAAAAATAATTACATATTTGAAATCCTCACAAAAAACTGCGTAAACCTGTGCACTTCGATCAAGATCACTGAAGAAATAAACAAAAAATGTCTAAGATGAGTCTGCCTTCTTAAGTTAAGGTTTGTATGTGTGTCACATAACACCCAGCTATTGTACTTGCCACGGCCATGTTACTTTTGTGTGTTGCAATTAAAGTAAGACTACAGTTAAGATCTCAGTGCTACTTGCTCTCTCATATAAACCTGCTGTATTGACCAAGCCGTCATGTACTTTGTAGGTGTTGCGCAGTGCTGAGGAGTATGGGAGAATGTTGGCTACTCAGCAGAAGAAGATGCGTACGTTTGAAGAATCCCTCAAGTCAAAGAAGACAGTGGCGTCCATGATAGAGAACAAGAAGGATGCCAAGCCCGCGGCTACAAAGGGCAAGGAGGCCGCCAAAAAAAAGCCTGAAGGTAGTACTACCTGCCTCGATGGTGGGAGTTATATAGCAGAGGTAGTACACGAAGTGAATTTACCTTCTAGATTGGAGGGAGTTGGGAGCTTGTGTTGCTGTTGAGGGGAAGTAAGAATAGCAGACTGGGCTTGTTGGTTTAACATATTTGCAGCTTAAGGCGCGAAAACGACACGGACGAAGAGAGACAGTGTGTAGTGTGAAGACAGTGTGAAGAGAGGCGTGTGTGTGTACTGTCTCTCTTCGTCCGTGTCGTTTTCGCGCCTTAAGCTGCAAATATGTTGAGGGGAGCACTAACCCCCTGTATTCTCCAAAGGGGCCATCACGCCCAATTTTTGTTCATAGTTTGCGTTATGTTGATGAATCCTTGTGCGTTCATGAACGAGCTTGTGAAATTTTAGCAGATTTGGTGAAGCAGCTAATATTCAATATTCTAATAAAAATGCGAGTGACCTGAGAGTGTGGCAACACTGGCGGATTCACAAGCGGTGACGTAACAAGCTGCCGGCTGTGCGGGTATCTGCATTCCAGGGAACAATTTTGTTCACTGGTCAGTTGCAAGTGCAGTTGAGCTGTTTCTGCTTTTTTAAGCTTGGCATTTAAGCCTAACGATTTACAGTGACTTAAACTTTGGAAGATTATGGCATCACACATGCAGTGGTGAAATGTCGGTCACTGGCAGTGGTCGAGTATAAGAGTCGGCGATTTCTAGGGCCTACTTTGCACGAAATATTCTTTTGTTATTCATTTTCATATGCTTGTTCATACAATAGACTCAGTACTTCTATTTTTCGCTGAAAACCACAAATTGGGGGAAGGGTCCTTGTCATGGTCTGTTCAACATACTCAAGCATGTGTGCTGTGGTCGCTGTACATCATTGGCACCTTAGGAAAACTTCTGAGAAGTTCAGTAGTACATTTGGGCGGTTGTCAACTTGGTGAAATGGGGAAATCCTTTAAATTGTGGATCGTTTAGTTCAAGGGCTGGACATAAGCTCCACACATCCAGCTTCTTGAAGACCTACGCTTGGCACTTTGTGTATGCATTTCTCGTTAGGCCACCGTCTTTGGTCCGCTGAAACACCCTCCTCACGTTGGGTTTTCGTAGCTTGTACGCGGGGTTTACAATAAAAAAAGTGTCCAGACATACAACCAATTGCCATGATGTAAACACTGCTTAGCTCGACAGCTCGACAAAAACCTCGACACAAAACCTCGACAGCTCGGCTGTCGAGGTTTTGTGGTGTGTCGTAGACAAGTGCTTCTTGTGTTGTATACTGCCACCGTCACATCTTATGTCTCATTGCATGTGTGCGGCTGGGTAGGGGTTTGACAAGAAATCTCTCATGTCAGCTAACACTATTCGTGTGGTTTGAAACTCGCTTCCCTAGGAACACCTTCATGCTGTAAAGTGCGACTTGTGTCAAAAGTGGCGCTTTACTTGTAACATGGTGCTGCGTAACGGTTGGAATATGCAGTCAACCTTTGCCCGGCTCTAACCACGAGTCGTGGACGCTTGTTGCTAGTGCTCCAGTGTAAGGGTGACAGGGTGGTGGTTCAGCTGACATAAAGTGTAAAATGCGACGATGACAGTAGGCAAAAGTACTCTTCCTTTTGTTAGTTTTGGTCATTTCCTCTTACACTTAAAATAGTATTTCAACATTGTGACACGTCAAGTGTGCAGGTTCATTTGTTATCTCTTGTATTATAAAGCAGTGTTAGAAGTCAGGTTACTTTGTGTGACAACTCAGCACGCGATCTGTTTTGTCCATGTAACCCAAGAAAGCAATCTTCTGGCATAAGTCTTACGGAGTCTGCGTGACATTGCATGTCCGTAACTAGTACTAATAGCGACAGACATACAATGTCACGCACAGCTTTCCTTCACTTTCTTATATTGAGTACTTAATAACTACAGCCAACTAAAGGGGGAAGATTAGTTCATGGTTAAGTGATTTAAATCAGCTGTATTAAATTTTAAAGAATTGTTAGCTGTCATATGCGTTCTTACCGAATTCACTAAGAAAGGTACCTAGTCACACCCATTCTCACGTGGTTTTTTGACACAGCGACCCAAGAAAGAAGCTGCTGCAAAGGAAGCCGTCGTGAACGGTGATGCTGGAGGCGATCCCAACGATGATGACATCGCAAAGAACAGGCAGAAGCTGTTCGAGAAATTGCAGGGAAAGAAAAAGTCTGACAAAGGGTAATTTTTTAGCGGTTGTGTTTGGTTCCTTGCCAGTGCAGTTGTTTGACTTTGTCGGGTGCGAGCCACTAAAGCTTTCGGGCATTCTCCTGTGCTGATTGGCCTCGATGAAGTTATTGTGCAGCTGTCGCATTGAGTTTAGTACAGCTGAGTACGACAGCGTTTCTGGCCAAGTCTGCTGCAGTGCTAGCAGGGGTGCGTTGTCAACGATGGTAACTAAACCTACAACGAGACAGGTTAGAAAACACTAGCGATTTATGCGAGGAATTATTCTAATGAGCTGCTTGTGTGAGTACACATTCATCATTGGCCCAGGAGTCACTACTGTGCTGTCGTATTACCACATTTGTTCTGTCCTTATTGGGCTTTTGACATAAAATATATTTGTTTTTATCTTGCAGATTGCACTGCAGGTGTATGTATGTGGGCGCTCTTGGCTACTGAAAGCCCTATTGAGGCACGCAACATCACATTATGCAAAGCGCTTGCGTGATGCATATGAAGTGTCATTCTGCAGTGCTAAAACTCATCAATGACATCACCATGTAACATAACGGCTCCACACTCTGCTTGCATGTTTAACTTTGCTGTTTTGCTTGTCTCCTTTTAGTAGTGCTATATGATGTTGATTACCACTATGTTGTAGTAATAGGTGGGTCTCTGCAAAGTTTGTCTCCTATATTGAGACAACTTAAGTATATGTGCATCACCTATTGTGTTCCTGATGAATCTGTTGGTGTAGCAAACGAAATCTTCAGTTTTTGTTCATTTTTTTTTTTTCAGTGCCAAGAGTCCGGCTGCTGCAAAGGACAAGTCAAAGAAACCTCGTATTTGGGACCATGGTGGCAAGTCGTCTGACCTTAAGACCCTCGACTACAGCGGAGGGGTGCCTCCTGAAGGCGAGGAAAATGGTCGTTCAGAGGATCTTTTAACTGCAGAGTCGGTGAGGACATTGTTAATAGCGATGCAGAATCCCCGCTCGAGAAAACTGAGTGGAGATATTAGATTTTTCAATCACATGCTGCTCATGTCTACACTTGACTAAGCATTGAGACAGAATTGGAAGTGAACTTTGTGTTAAGAGCACACACAGACATACTGAACTTTATTGATGTACTGAAGTCGTGCTTTACATGCATTTCAAGATTTCTTGTAACGGCCTTGTCTAAATGTGTTGTGGATATGCCAAATTCTTTAGTTATAAAACGTGCTCACTTTAGTCGCATCAAGCGGGCTTCTCCACAAAACACAGGTAGGCGTGGCAGGTAGAAATCGTGCACTTGCATCCACTGCCAAGATCGGTGCTCTCATTTTAGTGGCATGAGCGTTAGTCAGCGCATTTAATTTAGGCACATGAACTGCACTTACCTACTGCTGTGTATGGCAAGCCCATAGCCAGGGGGGAGGGGAGCATAGCCCTTTTTCTAATAATGAAAATATGGGGTTCTGAGGGCCTTAGTTGTGTTCCCCCTCCCCCCAAAAAAATGTTTTTTCTACTGGCTATGAGCCTGGTGTGTGGGTGCGCTTTTTGTGAAGAGTGTTCAGAGTGGTATGAAGGGGGAGGAAAAAAGGAATGAACTTGATGCAAACCTTCATAATTCAATGCGGTTGAAAGTAACACCGCTTAATGCGAGGCGTTTTGTAGTAGCCCATTTATAGATGCCAAACCTAACATGAATGGGAAGTCTTGTCTAAGAGCTATGCCTAAGTCTAGCAGTTTCCCTATTTCGATCCAGTAAACCTTGAAGATGAATTGCGGCAATTATGTGTTGCGGCACTTATAAAGGGCTGAGCTGTATGTGCGGTAGGATTTGTCAACCTGAATATCATCGTTTTTGTATGTTGCAATTACTTTTGAACATGCTGGATGTCTCTGACGGTGTTTACTTGTCGTGCTTTCTGCGTTTACAACTCCAGCGCTCATGGGTTGGCAAAGGTGGTGGTGAAATCAAGGACATGGAGTATTCCGAGAGCGAGGAAGAAATGGAAGAGGAAGATGCACCTGTCAGCTCCAAACAGAAGTCAACCAAGGGGTAAGTTGGGTGTCTCTGTTTTTAGCTTTTGGTGGATTGTCAGGACACCATGTCAGATGGTTCATCAAGGTACTAGCTGTGTGACTGCCTTTTGAAGCTCATGTTTATGTTTCGTAGTTCATGCTGTCTCGAGTTCATTTAAAACGTCAGGGTGCTCGTTCACCGAGGCCCGTGGCATAAGCTGCATGAGGCACTGGCTTCAATGTATCGTCGTTCTGGAAATCCGATTCCTCTAAATCGCCCTCGCCACGTACTTTATTCGCAATGCCCTAATCCATGCACGGTTACACACTGTCGGCATCATCATCGGCCGTAATTAAACCATTGCAACAGATGTCCCACCCGCTCTCCCAGGTAGGAGTCAACGTGCTGCCACACATCGTCGCCGCAGTGGTTTTGTTCGGAAGATTCAGGCTCGGCATCGGGTTTGACGTCGACAAAGTCGGCCTCGCGAAAACAGTTTCGCGCGCATGTAGCCGTCACCGCCACCTACGGAATATTCATCATTTCCACAACCATCAGGACGCCCGAAGAGGCGAGTTGGCTGCCAGGTGGTCAACAGCTATGAGCAAGCGCTCTGCAACGCCAAGCCAAGCGGTCACACTTTAGACGTTTTGTTGAGCGGCAGGAAGAAACGTGCAAGTCCACCCATCTGCCATCCTGACAACACATGCACACCAAAAGCAAGAGCAAGACACACACACATGACACGCATGCCAGAACGCGTGGAACAGATATGGGCCCGTTTATAGTCAGAAAATGGAACTAAATCAAGCCAGCGTGGCTGGCGTCGCAGAGCGGTGGAGACGAGCAAAGCGGTTGTGATAAAGAGAGGAGAGCATATTTGGAGAGAAGAAGGGCAAGGAGTCGTGATAGAGTGAAGAGAGGGGAAGGTGCGGTGGGAGGGCGACCTTGAAAACCAAAACCCACGCGAAGTAGGCAGATTGGGTAGCTTGCTTGAAAGGTCCGCGAAACGCAGAACTCGCACGTAGAAAAACTTGAAAGTGTGCCTGCGCACGCAGAAGTCTAAGCACGGCCGCCTGGATCGGTGCATGCGGCGGTGCTCAAAGAACCGGCGGCCGTGGTTAAAAAATCGTTTTGTTGCACAGGCGGGTTTGCGTGGCCTCACGAACTTCGATATTTCACAATTCCTTCCGCGCAAATTAACACCTGTTTTCGCGCTTCTGCACGCGCGGAGGGCGTGCTGAGCAGAGTGCGAAGTGAGCGCGAGACGCCAACTATCGGATGAAGTCAGTGGCCGACGATGTTGGCAAATGGTCTGGTCACTCCAGGCCGGTGACGCCAATGACAGTACCAGCGATCAAAACAGGGTAGATGGCCCACCGGTCTTTCAAAGATCGGTCGCAGTGTGGAAACACGGGCCTCGTCTGGCGATGTGAGGTGCTCAGAGTAGCGGGGGACAAAGGACGAAGGGGCATGTAACAAAAAGCGGTCGGGGCATGGAGGAAGGAGACAGCTTTCCTTCCTCCATGGGTCGGAGAGAGCGACAACTGAAGAGGGCGCGGAGGCAGAGTTGGCGTTTAACAATAAGAATGTATGGACACCTCGCCGATGCCTGATCGGTGGTCCAAAATGGTTTCCCGGGAAGTCGGCTGAGCGGCGACTGCGTTCGCTGTAAACGATCAGCGGCATTCAGAGACGTTCGTTGTAAGTGCGATTTTGTGCCATTGAACCAATGTATATTTTCATGGACACGCGGATATTGTTCGTTTTTAAGCGAAACTTCTTTTTAAGTGGGGCCGTTATATGTGGGCTCGACTGTATATGTACAGCTGGTTAAGGGAGCAGCGACAGCAATACAGATTAGCTTGCGCCAGTCTATCTTCGTTGTCCTCTCTTCATCTCGATGCCACTGGTACGTAGCATGACACCCGGCAGCGGAGGCACTGTCCTGGAGCTTTAAAGGTTATCAGATCAGAACATCATTGTGGCTGATTATAAAATGTCCGGCTCCAGAAGCGGTGTACGTGCGGTGGGAGATAGCAGTTTCCAAGACTTTATTGCACCTGTGGCTGATGTTATCTATGCGTCCAATAGCAGTGAATCCGAAAATGATGACCGTTCATCGGACACCTCAGAAAAGTCTACTTTATGATTCAAAGTTGACTCTATGATTCCAGGTATAGACGGACTCCGATTGTAGGTCAACCTCCAAGCTCTAAAAGGCCATGTTTATGAAAAAAAAAACGTCGACTTAGGATCGGCAATATATAGTATTTATCAAAGCTCTAGGTGTGGCTTTGACAATGAGCGTGGCAGTTTCACGAGTATACATATATACTGCACTGAGCGACGTTTCATGCTGTAAGGCTTCCTGTGACACTGATAAATCTAGTAAAGTATTGCACAGAAGCTACTAGTGATGCAAATGCATACCAAGACTGGCTGTTATGTTGAAATGCCTATAAAAAAAAGCGTGCCTCACGATCTGAATGGCTTCATTTAATAATAATAATGGTGATGATGATTATAATAATAATCATAATAATGTGTGGTAGTTTAAGTCCCAAGACCACAAAATATGATTTTGACTGCCCGCGTTCGGTGCTGTTGATTGTGGCAGTGCTGTGAGCTCAGTGCACACGTTTACTTAAGTGAATGAAAAATTAAAGTCTAGTATTTGATCATTTTCACTGATTTGGCTGTTTTGCAATTATCTATTCTGCTCCCGTCAAGCTTATTTGCATCATGCTAGATTACACAGAAGTCTTCTTGTTTCGTGTTTAATTGTTTCTTTAGAGCAAAGTCTGGTGGTATGTTCGGCATGTTTCGTGGCTTAGTCGGATCCAAGAGTATCACAGCAGAAGACATGGCTCCTGTGCTGGACAAGCTCAGGGACCATCTTATCGGTGAGTTGCTTATGCTCTACCGAGAGCTGCCCCTCCTTTGCTCGTGCAATGCTTTTGTTCGTTTGTGTCAATAACTCGACGGTATACCATGATCGGCACAACCTTATAGTGTGCCTGGCCATCTGCTCACGTGGTGCGGCTGATACTCTGTGCAATAGTATGTGCATGAAATAATTTGGAATAGGGCTGATATACTCCTTATTTAATTGTTCTAGTTCTCACAAATTCAATTTTTTCACTTGGCAATGACGCTTTAGCTGCTTCAAAAGCCTTTTTATCTGCTATAAAATACGCTTCGGCTGCTTCGAAAACCCGCTCGAAAATGGCTTCAACCATTGACATTATATGCTGAGCGCATTGTATTGGTGCTCTGCATAAACACCACTGTGTGCAGCACCAGAACAGAAGGTAAACAGGTTATTTGACTCGCCTTGCGGTATAGATCAGCTACATTTCAATACGCAGTTATCCCTATTTTTTTTATTTTTCATGGGCGCTGACTCAGTGTTGCATCAGATTTGGTGCCTCTGGTCAAGCCTCCTGAGCTTTCCCAGCAGCAACACCAGCATGCACACAATAGACTCATGTTTGGTACAAAGCTGAAAATGTCAACTAAATTTCATAGTAGGGCTTCTGCAAAATGGCACTTGCTGCAATGCGTATGTTCAAAGAGTGCCCGTTGTCGGCGTCCTTTCAACAAAAAATGCTACTCGACCCCTCCACCCCTCCCTTTTCGAAGCTTCACCCTGCAAAGGAAAGGATTGTGGTCGTTGAATCGCAAGGGTCTTGGCCGGTGGGGCCGAGGAAAGCCGAGAGTGAGCATTTCTGTTTGATGTAATGTTACTCGGTTACCGTTGTTGATATAAACCTGTGGCTAACTGACGTCCCGGTTTTGTAACTTCGTTTTGCTATGCAATGTATTTTTGCTATCCAATTTGTTTATTTTGTGCAGTGAAGTAATTGGCTTTATGAAAGTGCATAAACTTAACTCCCAACGGGCCAATGGAGCCCGTTTTGCTAGTTCATTGAAATGAATTTAAGACAGTCTACTGTATTTCACAACTTACGAATGTTCACAGAGGCAAGGCAAATATGTTGGAAAAACTGTGGCTTGCTGAAACAAATTAACATAGCTGTAGTATTGAATAGATCAATCATTGGGCGGCGCAAAATGCCACAAGAGGATGGCTTTCTGAAACCCAACATCAAAAGATGGCTTTTCTTTGCTTGGGTAAGTTCAGGCTGAGTTACTGATAAGGTGAGCACCTTTTCCTTGCAGGTGCCAGCCAATTGCACTGAGATCTACTGAGTATATTTGCGAAATTAGATAGGGTAACCGCATTTCCGGTAGTTTTTTTTTATGTAGCACCTTGTTGTTTTTGTCTGCTCTCTGCCTGCGACCGTGCTTATGTTTAGATACTCCCTGTACAAAGTAGTGCAGTTTCAGCAGGTCCATTTGTGTTTTGAACCATGGACATTTTGCCTGTGTCAGGGAAAGCGTGCGAGATGTTGTGGGGTGTTTAATGGGTGTGAGTGTACCTTTGTTTGTGGCTCTGTCGCAGCCAAGAATGTGGCGGCCGATGTGTCTCAGAAGCTGTGTGATTCGGTTGGGGCCCGCCTGGAAGGACGAGTCCTGGGCAGCTTCACAGGCGTGGCATCCACGGTGCGGGCCACCCTGGTTGACGCACTGGTGCAGCTGCTTTCGCCCAAGCGCCGTGTCAACCTGCTGCGAGACGTCCTGGAGGCCCAGCGTGCTTCGCGTCCGTTCGTCATTACATTCTGTGGTGTGAATGGAGTTGGAAAGTCCACCAACTTGGCCAAGGCAAGCAATATGTCGATTTTTTTCTTATTCAGATGCATTGTGCAGTGTCAGCTGACACTCTTGGTAACAAATGACTTGGTGTGTGCTTCTGGAGATAATTTCTCAGGGTTCGTAAAAGTCCTTGATAACCCTTGAATTTGGAAAGTGCATTTTCAAGCACCAATTCCAGCACCGAAAGGTCCTGGAATTGTGCACTCAGACCTTGATATAACGAAATATTGGTTATAACAAAGTAAATCAATAAGTCTTGCAATTGTTGTAGTGTTATAAATAAACCTTTATACGAATTTTCGGATTAACAAGGGTTTATTTGTGCAAGAAGCAACTTTGTTATGATGAGGTTTCAGCATATTTCGTCCTTTAAAATTCTTTAATTTCGGGACCAGTTCAGTTTAGAGGCCACAGTACAACCTGTTTATCTGTTGTAGATTACCATGGATGTGGTGAACTTTCCATTTCAGAAGCAATAAACCGTGCAAGTGTGCACCTATTCTATTTGTTCATGTCTTGTCCTATTGTTCGTTTCACTCCTCGTCCGTCAGTTCATCGCATCTCGCATTCTCTCTCTCTCTCTTTATCAACTTATCTCTCTAAGGCTTCACTCATGTCTCCTGCATTTATGCTTCTTTATTCCTGACTAGTGATTCGTGCATGTGGTCAGTACACTGTAATATTGTAGAGCCTTGCTATTACAATCGAATCCATATAGTATAAGAACCATGTGTGTAAGAGAAGCCTCATATAAGAGACATGAACTGCTGCCCAGGGCATGTCTCTTTTAAAGGGGTTCACCTGCAGCTGCAGGCATGCGCTGTGCATTTGTGTGTTCTTTGTGCCTGCTCCACTCTGGACCGTGTAGCGAGTAGCCTGTCCGTTTGATGCGACAAAGACAAATATTTTGCAACCTACGTACACTCTACATCTTTATGACTCTCTGGCGATCGGGCACAGTGAGGTGAGGGGTGCTTGGGTTGTCATACAATAAAACAAGTAGTAGTACATTTGCTCTCAGTGCATCGACACTTCTTGGTGTCCGCGCCGCTCAACACCAGCAAGCTACCATCGTTTGTACATAGCGACACGCTTTGCTTCTACAACCAACAACCAGAATTGGTTGATTTGGGAAAGCTGACCGAAAGGCCGCATGCTGCCTCCCATTTTCTTTTTCACGTCTCACTGCCTTTCTGCCACTTAAGAAACACCTGCAAAGCGAGCTGTACCTTGAGCTGGTACAGACGATTTGGCTTAATACTAATACTAAAGGGCTTCACGAACCCGGTGGTGTCTTGGCATTGGTGGATAGTGCACAAAAAGATAAGACACAAAGGGAGAAGTTGGGACAAGTGCTGGTCTAGTAATTAAAGGATTTTATTTGAAAAATTTATATAGTATACGTAGTATAAAGAAAACAAAAACCGTACACAACCTTACGAATGATCAATGAAAAGAATCTCTTCATCAGACTGTGACATAGATGGCTCACTTATTCAATTGCTATTGATTCTTTCCTTTGGTAATTCATAAGCTTGAGTATGGTTTACGTTTTCGGTATATGTATATGTTTGACTTTTCAAATACACTCAAAAACCTCATTATAGCAAAGTTGCATCTTACACGGAAATAAGTTTCTTATATCTGAAAATTCATTATAAAGGTTTATTCCTAACACTATGTCTATTGCAACACCTATTTTTCATTTATTTCGATATAACCGGTATTTCGTCATATCCGAATTCGCTATATCGAGGTTTGAGTAGAACCTTTCAGTGTTAGACCACCGCTTGTCCCTTCACCTCCGTTCACATCTTGCCTGTCTGCGCGCTACCAACTCACTCGCCTTTCTGTCCTACTACAGTGTTTTACCATTTATGAAAAAAAAATTTGCAGATCTGTTTCTGGCTTATCGAAAACAACTGCCGGGTTCTGATTGCCGCCTGCGACACATTCCGAGCTGGTGCCGTGGAACAACTGCGTACCCACATGCGTCACCTGAACGCTCTGCACCCACCCGAAAAGCATGGCGGCAAGCAGATGGTGCAGCTGTATGAGAAGGGTTATGGAAAGGATGCTGCGGGCATCGCCATGGAGGCCATCAACTACGGTACGCTGTGAGCTTGCTGTGCTTAGTGCATTTGCTCGAGTTTGATATTTTTAGAAAACATTCTCTAGGTTCAGTCTCTACATCAACTTCACCCTACAGTGTGGCCTCAGCACCTGCTGTGGCTGGGGCCACATTGCCTGAATAAAATCAATTTTTCGCCAGTTTGTAATCCGAATTTGGCCTTAGCACTGGTGGAAATAAAAAGTTACCCAACATAAATTTACAATTTATGTCGAAAGTGACAATTTTCACACACACACACACCCGCACGCACGCACACACACACACACACACAGACAGACAGACAGACACACACACACACACACAGACACACACAGACACAGACTCACACAGACACACACACACACAGACACACACACACACACACACACACACACACACACACACACACACACACACACACAGAGAGAGAGAGAGAGACAGAGACAGACAAAGACAACTTTTTTAGTAACATCTCCTGTTATGGAACTGAGAAGCATCACATATTCTCATCCAGTATAAAAACACAGTTTTGGCACTTGTTGAATCTCCTACAGCAGGCTCACGCAGCTTGGCTCACGCAATCTAGAGACATCTACAGTGGCTTACATCAAAGGAGCCCAGCAACACTTTCTGAGCTTGGTCAGAAAACGCTGACAATCGACAGTTGAGGCTCTGAAAAACACGCATGTCAAATAATATAGTGCAGCAAGCGGCCTGCAATTTACAGTGAATTCCCTAGACAAATGAAGCTACAGGCTCAAGATCATTAAGTCTCAGGTCAAGCATCAGCTATTGGCTGATTCGAGCATGGCACGTGCGGTCGTTACTGGGGCTGCGGTGAAAGGCCGCGACTTGTCCACGCCTACGCATGCAATCGCACTGAGAAGCTGCGCATTCAAAAAAAAAAAAGGAAAAGAAAAGTGCTCAAGTTCATGAGGCACGCATGGCACATTTTCTGCCCTCATGCCACTTGCTTAGCTTCCAGCGCTTCAGCTGGAACAAGAAGATACAGATTGCCATTGCAGCATGCGACAAATCTTCGTAATTCCGCTCATACTAGGCAGATTCTGAAGTGGTGAATTCGTGAGGCAGTAATCTTCTTTAGTAAACACATTGCATGGCTACTTAGAAAAGTGATTTTCTAAAAAAAAAAAAAAAAGACTTTTTCTAAGGATGACATAAGCATCTGTATATAGTGGGAATGAAGTCTGGAGAGCCGGAAGTGACCCCTGTCCTATGGCTGAAACAAGCCTTGCCAGCAATGCTGTGCACATGGATCGCTGAGGCTTGGGCCTGCATTCGCGAGCTGCTCGCTCATTGTGCCTTCAACAAGTGCTCGATTTCAAACACCCTTGATGACACTGAAGATAACATGCTATGAGAGGACTCATCTGGCAAGGGCGTCAGACAACCGAGAATAAGTGTGTTGATTAAATGTATTCAGTTTTGGTTATCCTAGGGCTATATGTATCTATGCGACATCTTTCTTTTTCTAACGTTTGCTATCCCAAAATGAACCTCAGATTATATGTTGGTCCGAGATGTATGAGGGTTTTTACGAGAGCCGGACAAGATTTGGAAGGAGGGTCCTTGCTTGGTTAGACAAGCTAAGACCCTCCTTCCAAATCTTGTCCAGAATTTGAAGATGGCGGCCGAATAACCTCCAAGAAGAACGCACCCTTGCGCTTATAATTGGATGCTTTATAGAACATGTGTGCATGTACTGTTTTCTTTTTTTTCTTTTACTGAACCGAAGGGAATCCTCTTGCGAAATCTCATGTGTCATGATAACAATGGGGTAAAGATATTCTTTAAATGTTCAGACAATTTTTGACAATTGAGAATGCTACCCTGAGACACCAAGCTCTAAATGTACTGTACTGAATAGTTGTGCACATGTCTTAAAAGACTCTAAAACTTAGGCTCTTAGAAACCACTGGTGCACGACTCCACAGTGTCAAAAAGACAGGGGAGTGGAGGTGGTAAGGCTTCCGCTTAGTCATTGGCACCCATTTCAAATCCCTCAAAAAAGGGGAAGAAGCTTTTGCTCAGGTAAAGTTGCTGGCTCTGGATTTTATGGTAGTAATTTAGTGTTGCCAGCTCTGTCGTGTTCGTTATATGTTGTGCGTTACCAAATGCATCAACTTTGGTTGCTGTCATTGAGCATGTGAATGTACCTGAGCATGAAAAAGCTTTTTAAAGAATGCCTAAACTGCAGCCTAGACTGGTACGTAATACGAAATACATGGTCGAGTGATGTCACTATGTAAATGTCTTTTTGTTTCAGCTCGTGAAACAAGAATCGATGTGGTCCTTATTGACACAGCTGGAAGAATGCAGGATAATGAACCTCTAATGCGGGCACTGGCGAAAGTGAGTTAATTTTAAACACGGTACTCACTCCTCCGATCAATACATGTCCTGAAATGTGTAGGTACGGTTGACTTGAGTTATCGTGTGTGCTTCTGTAATGGCCACAGGTTTTTTTTTTTTCTCGGATACTAGGGGTGAAAATCATGGGTGCCAGATCGAGAACCTCACTATGAATAAAGGAAAGGAGTGTAATCTTGTACAAGTCAAAGTAGTTTTCATCTTAGTACAGTAGAGCCTGTTAATTATACCCCAATTAATTGGGAAAATCAGGTTATTCAAAAATGTTCTCTGGTCTTGGCAAGCTTAGGTTTCCTTTAACAGCATCAAAGTCTCAATAATTCAGTCATATCCGACTGCGACTTGAAGTGCTCTAATGTTGAACTCGAAGGAGCGAAAGTGGCATTTGCGAACGACTTCGTGGCGACCACAGTTTCGTCCACATTGGATGTAGCATTCAGTAGCTTCATTATGTACGCGACTGCCTCAAATCTTCTAAGTTTTGTTTTATTTCTTTTTTTTTTGCGTGTGTTGTGCCGTGCGAGTGTCCGTTGGTCACTCGAGGGGGCCGTCCTCCTTGTTTACGGGCAGCAGCGATCGGCGAGCCTCCCAGACCTGCGGGCGCCGGGTCAGCACAAAGGCGGCGGCCCGCTTTAATGCACCTTGCCAGTTCGGGTGCAAGAAGAGGGAAACATGTCCCTTTGTGCATCCGTGGCCTGTGGGGCGTTCGACTCTGTTTCCCCGAATGGCGAAGTGACGGACTTCCCCCACTGACTTCGTGGAACAATTTGTGCACGTGTGTGTGTGTGTGTGTGTGTGTGTGGTGTGTGTGTGTGTGTGTGTGTGTGTGTGTGTGTGTGTGTGTGTGTGTGTGGTGGTTCGTGCGCGTTTGTGTCGGCGTGCGCGTATGTGTACTCGGATCTGTGGTCGACAGAGGAGAGCGAGAAAACGCGGGAAGAGCCAGAGACGCAGCGAGAACGGCGAGCGAACAAGAGTCTGCGAATTGCGAGCGACTTGAGCGGTTGTGCGTTGTGCGATGTGCGGAATTGAACGGTTGTGCGGGTAATATTGTAACCTAGTTTTCTTAATTAAATACAGCCTTCTTTTGTTTTCATTTTCTTAACAGTGCGTGAGTCGTGTGTTGTGTCTTCTATCAATTTTCACCTTTTTACGGCCATACCGGCGACACCCTAAATTTTACCAAAAGCGGGATAGAGGACGCTAACATTCATCAGAAGTGGGATTTGACCGATTTTAGAAAACGTTCGGAACGAGTTTGAAAAACCTTAGCGAGGAGTGCGATTGCGTCAGTGCGAGAACAAAGCAATGGTGGACTTCCAGTGAGCGTGCACTTCCAGAGAGTTAACATCAGCCATGCTGGACGGATCATCGCCAGGGGAGAGTGGTCACCGTGATGATGACGACTGTGCTGGGCTCACCAAGCGGGAACTTTTCGGCGCTTTGCGCGAGAAAGACCGCTTGTTGGCGGACCTGCTGCGGCGGCTGCCTCAGCCGGAGTCGTCGGGGGCTCCACACCAGGCGGCCATCAACACGTTTCAGGTGATGCCCGATTTGAGCAGGAATATTCCAGACTTTTCTGGTGATGGTTGCGCGTCAGCAGCCCGGGAATGGATGGAAAGTTTGCGCCAGACGGCTACGCTTCACCGGTGGCCAACGCCATTCCTGCTCGAAACTGCCAAGTGTCACCTGGTCGGCGCAGCAAAAGATTGGTACCGTTCGAGAGCTGCCGAAATTTTATCGTGGGACGATTTCGAGCGGATGTTCGGGCGGACTTTCTACAGCCAGACACGGGCGGCGGAGCGATGGAGGCGAATGCAAGAGCGAATTCAGCAGCGAAATGAGAACACGGCTGCGTACTTCCACGAGAAGGTGCGCCTTTGCAGAGAGGCGCACTTACATTTCTGTGATACGAGGGAGCAGGTGCTGACCAGTCTGCGATCACGGGAGTTATGCACAATGCTTCTTGGAAGGTCGCACGAAGACGCGGATGACCTGTTGCACGACATTCAGGAATTTGAGAGGATCGACCGTGAGCGACGGGAACGCTTCGGGACAGCGGCTGAGCGAAGAGCGACAAGCGATGCACCTCGTATGTACCCTGCACCCAAGGCACCGCTGCAGGGTGCGTCCGGGTACGACAGGCGGGACCAGCGACCACCTATCACAAATCAGAACGGTGAGCGAAAATGTTATAATTGTTTCAAATTCGGACACATTTCGCGGGATTGCCCAGAGGAAAGACGAATTGAAAAATGTCTAAAATGTGGGAGGACTGGGCATACCCAAAAACACTGCCAAGCAAAAGGCCCCAAAAATGAGACGGACGCTGTCTCTGGAGAGAAAATTGACCCTGGCGTGCTTTTGAAGCACGTTAAATGGAATGGCAATGAGACTTTGATTGGCATGATAGACACAGGCAGTTCCGGTTGCTTACTGCGCGAATCAGCGGCGGTGCGGTGCGGAGCGGAAGTGCTGGAAGATTCGACAGCTCTGTATGGTTTCGGCAGCCAGGGCGTTCCACCTGCTCGTGCGATTGGCAGGTGCCGGGCCGACTTGCTGATAGATGGCGTCGTTGGCAAAAACATACAGATACTTGTTGTACCCGACGAGGCCCAGTCGGTCGATTTGCTTGTCGGTCGCACGTTTACCGAGCTGCCATATGTGACCTACGCTAGGCTGGGCGGCAGCTTGCAATTCTGGCATAGAAACGAGTGCCCATTCTCACATCTCGAACCCTTCGTTTCATGTCCGAAATTACGTTTGAAAACTGCTGAAGAGACCCCACTGCAGGCCAATGTTATAAATTGGGTGAGACTGTCATCGAAGTCTAACGTCACTGGTGCGGTGCTATTCAACAACTGTGGGTGCGAAATTCTTGTTGACATGGAGGACGGAAAGGTTACTGTGCCGGTGTTTACGAGCGGAAATGACGACGTGGTTCTACGTAAAGGACAAAGACTTGGCCACGCGACAGAGGTGGACATCCCGGGTTGCGAGATGAAGGAAATAAATGAGTGCAGAGAGAAGTGCAGCGCGGCGAAGCCAGAGCAAATTCTGGTTACGGAGGTGCGACGGCCGATTGGGTGCGAGGGAATTAAAATGGACCCCTCCGTAACAGAGGAGCAGCGTCGTGAGCTCGCGTGCCTCCTAAATGAGTACCGGGATTGTTTAGCCGCCAATCTCAGCGAACTTGGCTGCACATCTGCCCTTTCGATGGACATACAGGAGATACCTGGTAGCGCTCCCGTGGCTGTTCGGCCCTACGGCACAAATGCAGCAAAGCTAGAGGCTATACATGACATCGTCGGAGAGCGGAAAAAAGAGGGAATCGGAACTGAGACACATTCCGAGTATGCGAGCCCAGTCATTACTACATCGATGGTCGATACAGAGCAGCGAGATTGGGACGAAAAGCTCAGTGAGGCAGAGTGCAGCGTGAACAACACTGTAAACAAGACGACTGGGAAGACTCCCTTCGAAATGTTACATGGTTATCGACCGAAATTTCACAGCGTGGCACTGAAGCGCTTGGTTGAATCTAAAGAGTCAGAGTGGGAGGAGCCCGGCGGTTTGGCTGCTGCAAGCGACTGTACGCAGCAGCGCCTCGTGAGCGAGCAGAATTTTCTCTGAATATGAAGGTCGACTTACGGACAAGCGCCATTTCCAGGCCTAAAATGTACGGTGTCGAGTTGACGTGGTCTTCATGACCGAGGGCTCCAGAACAGGCGGGAAGCCATGCCAAGCCCAGCCAAAATATATGGGGCCCCCTTGTAATCACGGCAGTGTTGCAAGCTGACTAGGCGTACTCGGAGTTGGCCGACTTGACGAACCAATGGGCGAGCCGCTTCGCGGCCACTGCGCACGTGTCGCAGTTGAAGTGCTGGGACAACGACCAATCCGGCATTCACACCTTGCTGACGGACGAAGAGAGTTGCGGAGGAGTCGGACGCTCCCGAATGTGAGGTGCAGCGACTGAGACGTTCGGCCCGTAGCTGCGCCAAGACCCATCCCTATGCGAGTGCGCCATAGTTGCGTTGGCATCTGGTTGAGAACTTCAGTGTGTGCCGAGATTTACCGAGTGAACTGTGCGAACTTAAACAGTTGCTTTTTTTTTTCTTGTCTTCTTCGACGAAGGAAACAATTCTGTTTGTGTATTGGCGTGTGGGTTTGTTTATGATTTTTTTTTCCATTAACGAGGACGTTAATGACTGTCAGGACGACCGAGTGTACGCGACTGCATCAAATCTTCTAAGTTTTGTTTTATTTCTTTCTTTTTGCGTGTGTTGTGCCGTGCGAGTGTCCATTGGTCACTCGAGGGGGCCTTCCTCCTGTTTACGGGCAGCAGCGATCGGCGAGCCTCCCAGACCTGCGGGCGCCGGGTCAGCACAAAGGCGGCGGCCCGCTTTAATGCCCTTGCCAGTTCGGGTGCAAGAAGAGGGAAACATGTCCCTTTGTGCATCCGTGGCCTGTGGGACATTCGACTCTGTTTCCCCGAATGGCGAAGTGACGGACTTCCCCCACTGACTTCGGAACAATTTGTGCACGTGCGTGTGTGTGTGCGTTTGTGTGTGTGTGTGTGTGTGTGTGTGGTGTGTGTGTGGTGCGTGCGCGTTTGTGTCAGCGTGCGCGTATGTGTACTCGATCTGTGGTCGACAGAGGAGAGCGAGAAAACGCGGGAGAGCCAGAGACGCAGCGAGAACGGCGAGCGAACAAGAGTCTGCGAATTGCGAGCGACTTGAGCGGCTGTGCGATGTGCGGAATTGACGGTTGCGCGAGTAATATTGTAACCTAGTTTTCATAATTAAATACAGCCTTCTTTTGTTTTCATTTTCTTAACAGTGCGTGAGTCGTGTGTTGTTCTTCTATCAATTTTCACCTTTTTACGGCCATACCGGCGACACCCTAAATTTTACCAAAAGCGGGATAGAGGACGCTAACAATTACATCTGCTATGCGTGCGAATTGCACAAAATTCAAACTGGTGGAAGCTTTTGGAGACGAAGAGCTTCAGTCCACGTTCAGATGCTGGCATAAAACTCTAGCTACATCATGATGGAACTGACGATAGGTTGCCGTCATTCAGTTTAAAAAAAGAAAAATTATCGTGAAGTGTGCATGGTGACGTAGTTATAAGTAGGGTGCATGTGTCAAACCGAGACACTAGAGCCTTGAGTTCAGGGTCAAAGCTGCGCAGCACAGCCTCTCACTGCACAGTATTATTCAAACATTCTCAGTCATTGTCATTATTGAAGGCGAATGACAAAAATTGCACCTTTTACATTGTGGTTATGCAAAATAAGCACTGTATATAAGTCGTGTTCATCAAGACAGTGACAGTATGTTGATAATAGACACTTGTTTCATGGTACTTTCCGTAATTTGGCATTCGGTTAATTTGGACATTTTAAATGCAAAGCATTTCGTAGCGAACTTCGGTGATTTTGAGCGTATCTGTCTATCTATATATATCTATCTATCATATATCTATCGATCGAGTCGCCTATGACTTTAGCTCTCCTGGCCATTTCGATAATGGTATCGATACCAAACTTGGTATGGCGTAAACATGACTGTATGAAGAAACATATTTGACTGTCATAACATGAAAATTCATGACATGTTCATGATGAATGTCATGATATACATTCGTGGTCCCTGCAGCTTTTGAGGTGGTTTCGTTCACATGGGATGTTGCTAAACGGGTATGGTAGACATGAGTTGCATGTGAACACAAGCGACAGACCCCTAACATGAAAATCATGACATGCATGTCATGCAACAACATGACTACATATGCTCACTCATGATGCGCTGGCGGCGTTTCGCTATTTTCACTTATGCCAAATTTTTGTATACGGGATCGTGAATGGATTACAAAGGTATGTGACTAGTGCAAACATGATAATCATGAGACGGTGTCATGTGAGAACATGACACCCATCTGACACGAACAAGACACAAGGCACCAATACCTTTCGACGTGATGCAGTGGGGTGCTCGCGGCGTCATTTCGTCGCGTCACGCGGTGTTGCCAGCCAGGCGTGGGTCCTGCCCTATACTCGAAGGCGCGCCACTGCGCTGTGTCGCTTTTGATGCATGCGCGTTTCAGCGCGGGCCAGCGTCTCTCCGTTACGAAAACAAGGAGACGCAATGTTGTATGGGTAAAGCACTCGGCGCGAAATGCAGCCCTGTCGCATTTTCGCACCGGTTGCCGTCGAGCCACGTCGATGGACGCTGGTTGCGCCTGGTGTCAGGCTACAGAGTGCTCGCATTTCGCTAACGTAGCGTCGCTGTGCCCAGATGCGCGCGCGTCAACGCTACATCGGAGTACCGTATAAACCGGAATATAGGTAGAGATTTTTCAATAAATAATAAGCTAAGGTCGCTCGTCGTCTTATATAGCGGTGTCTAGCCAAAAGTGCGACGCTGCTGGCAACATACGACTTGCATGTGCTTGTGAGCCAGACGCGGCCATATCCACCTCCATATCCAATCGCAGTCTGTTTTTTTTGTGTTGGTGCTCGCTTCCGATCTGTTCCGAGTTTTCGCTCCGCTTGACATTGCGCTGCATTTTTAGTGGCCCTTTTTTTTTTTTCGTTCCCTGAATATGTCTAACGGTGCGAGGAGGCAGTACTCAGCTGCGTTTAAACTAGATATTGTTAAGTTCGCAGAAGCGAACGGGAATATGGCTGCTCAGCGCCGCTTTGGTGTATCAGAAAAAAGCGTGCGCTATTGAAGGGCGCAGAAAGGGAAACTGCAGATGTGCAATCCTTGAAAAATGCCGTTTCGTGGACGAAGTGCTGTTCATCCGCAGCTGGAGGATAAGCTAGCAGCTAGCAGAGTTCGTGCGCGCTCGCTGCCAGTGACCGTAGATATCATTCGCAAGAAAGCCGTGGAACTCGCTCAGGAAGCTGGGCTCACAAGAGAAGAGTTTCGTGCACCGAACTCTTGGGTGCGTCGATTCATGCGACGCAAAGGATTGTCTCTCCACGCACACATCTATCTGTCAAAGTTGCCGGAGGAGTTCGAGGACAAGCTCATAAACTTCAGCGCTTTGTAAACCGGCTTCGGGAGCAGAACGACTACATGATGGGGCAGATTGGCAACGCCGATGAGACCCCCGTGTGGTTTGACATGCCTTCGTCGACCACGATCATGCAGCACAGCACCAAGGATCTGAAGCTGCTGTCCACTGGCAACGAGCACTCGCGCTTCACCGTCATGCTGGCATGCACGGCAGATGGTAGAAAGCTTCCGCCCTTTGTCATTTTCAAACGCAGACAATGCGATGGTGCGACAGTTGGTGCGACAGTTGGTGCGACAGTTGCGATGGTGGTAGAGGGAGCTCCGACGATCGGGATGGGGTGCGCCCAATTCGCAAATAAATGTGGTTCGGCAGTTTGGGTTGTTTTCCTTTTTTTTTCTTTTTCGGTAACCTGATCTTGGGGGTCGACCTATATTCCCACTCGACCTATAGTCCGGTTTTATACGGTATATTGGGCCCTTCATGATGCACTAGCGGGTCGTTTTGCTAACTCCACATGTACAAATTTTGTTTTACGTGACGTCAATGGATGACGAAATATAGACTGGTTTAAACATGATAATCCTGACACGGGTGTCATGCAGGAACATGACATCATGCTACGCTCATAGCAGCTCGCGGCCGTTTTACTAGCTCCACATATACTACATTTGGTATCGCATGACGTGAATAGATGACGAAGGTAAATGACACATCCAAACATGATAATCATGACACAGAAGTCATGTATGCATCAATTACCTCCATCGTAATGTTGTGCCGATTTTAAAGTGACATGGCCGTTTTGCTAGCTCCCATATACTAAATTTGGTATCACATGACGTGAATAGATGACGAAGGTAAATACACATCCAAACATGATAATCGACACAGAAGTCATGTATGCATCAATTACCTCCACCTCGTAATGTTTGCCGATTTTAAGTGACATATCAACATTTCTCATTCGCGTTCGCATATATCGGTTCCCACTGTATGTGGGATCTGCCAATTTTTTTCCCGTCTCGTGCAATCCAAGTTACCGAGCTTTTTGCTCTATATACGTTGTCGACTGGGCTTCGCGGTTAGACCGATTGAACCAGAGATTGCAGTCCAGAGCCCTAGTATGATGTAGCATTGCCAATTTGGTAAAGGCCAGATTAGCAAGTGGTGTTTATGCTGAAGTTGAGTGAAGTGGTTATAGCCTTTTAATGCCTGAATTATTAAACTACCAAACAAATAAAAATTGTTTTCATTTTGCAGCTTTATAGCAACTTTTAATTAAAGGATACACCAGTTAAATATCTAAAATGCAACTTTAATGCATACTTTTATATTGTCTCGAATTCTTCGTATGCCCAGTAGTGAGGACCTTGCAACAAAAATGTACTTAAATATTACCTATCATGTTGGTGCTACTTCTTGTTTGTGTGCACGGCCACTAAACAAAATTATTGAAAATAGAATGTACGTCACCCAGGCGAGAAAGAACAGAAGTGAGAGCTGCTGCATGCACCTCGCCCTGTTCACAATCAGCTACAAGCAATGGTTCTAGCATAAAATACCTTAGGTGTGACGGAGCTTTATTTTTCATGCTGAAAAATCCTAGTTCCCCGCAAGTACTTGGCAGCCGGCACTAACGCGGCACACATTTCGGTCTTGCTTGCTCGAAGTTTTTTCGGTGCATCACGAATTTGTGACACTGGGCAGTAAAGGGCTAAAGATAATATTCTTAACTCTACACAAACAAACCAGGTTTCATATCTGATTGTAGTTTGCACTCTTTTCAGAAAAATTGGAATATCTGTGTAGTACACTCACACATCATTATAAAGAAGTTACATCTTACATAAACAATATTTGTTATATCCGAAAGTTTGTTATAATACCTATATTCCAAATTGTAGCAATTGCAAGACTATTTCTCATTTATTTTGTTATAACAGATATTTTGTTGTGTCTGGGTTTGTTATATCGATGTTTTTTAGTGTACAGAATCATACCAGTAATCATTGAGGTTTATATGGAAAAAGATGGACGGATTGCGGTGTTCAACCAAAAATGCCATTAACTTTAGCTAGCTTGATAGTAGTGCAAGATTATTCTGTTTTACTTGTAAGTTACTCACAGGTCTTAATGATTTATATGCAGTCAGAGATAAAAACAGCCTCAATGCATCGTTACCATATTTTCTTGCATATCATATTTCCTGCACTCAGAAAAGGCAAAGAAAAAGTACCTTAAAAAGTGGAGAGCAGGCTAAATTCAGTGGACGTTATATGCAAGAAATATGGTAGTATTTCTAGAAAATTTTAGGAGCTGGGTATAAAATGTAGTTCAATTTGTGGAACAGCAAAGGCTGTTCCTTAAAATGTCAAAACATCATACAGCACATGACAGCATTTGTGTCTTCTATGTACCAAATGCTGTTGTTCGCAAAGGCATTGCCAGAAAATGCCACTCTTCTTTTCTGGTTATATCGTTAATTATAACTTTTATCCTAAATGTATACTTTGACCCTTCATCCTCATCATATCTACTTCCAGCTGATTACAGTGAACAAGCCTGACCTAGTGCTTTTTGTGGGGGAGGCCTTGGTTGGCAACGAGGCTGTGGATCAGCTCGTGAAATTCAACCAGGCTCTTGCGGATCACTCGAGTGAGGAGAACCCGCACCTCATTGACGGAATTGTGCTCACCAAGTTTGACACCATTGATGACAAGGTGAGGCACTTGAATTACCGAAGTTAATGTCCTTACTTCTCTCTGGAGCTCTCTTACTTGAAATGGTTTTTGCAAGGCAATGTTGCTGTTTGTATAGAAACAAAAAAATTTTCTTTTTAGGTACGAAGCTCTTTATGGCGTGGCTTGTAGTGCGTAACCTGTGGCACATACCCACATACCAGTGGCACGTACCCGCCCTCGGGCACATATCCGCATGTCCACATGTTACAAAGGACGTAGCTCTGCATCGTTATCATGCTCACAGTTTTAACAAAGCACTGACAGCAGAGATGTGGTATATACTCTCGTTTAGTCTTTGGATTGTTTGTTGAATCGCACTACTTGTATATGATGGATATATGATAAAAAGAAGCCAGATGGCGGTACTTGAAGTGTTCACTATATGGACGGACGGATGCACAGACGGATTGACGGATGCTTTGCCCCACTCATCATTATTTATTCCGTGGACAGGCTGTCATTTTTTTTTTTTTCAATATGCTTGGTGAAACACAACTATGAAAAATGTCCCTGTCCACTGAATAATCTGGAAGCTTAACAAAAAATAACACTTAAGCACATGAGCTCTCAGAAGAGTACTTCATTACTGTTTATGTGAATGTTTGTTCTACTATCGCCACTCTGATACTAGGTGTACAATCAACAATATACACACTCCAGAGACCTTCATTTCGGCACCGTTTCCTTCCTCAATATTTTGACAGCCTTGCCCTGTCCCCAAGCAAAACTAAAAGCCACAGTTCTGGGGGCAGGAGCTAACCAGCTTTCCAACTCTACGAGACCTTGTTTTTCACATCCAATGTCGTTGCTGTCTTTATTGAATGTGTACCTGTGAATGTGTACCTGTTTCAGCACTTGTCGACACTGGTGCTGCGGTGTCTGTAACGAATGAGAAGCTTGTCGTAGACTCAAAATGTAACGGTGCCTCTTCACAACTTCGTGTTTGAGCACTATGAGTGAGCAACGAATCTGTCCTTTCGCTGCATGCACGACAAACATTGTTTTGCAGACGTTATTTTTGCCGTCGAGTCTTCAGTGCCACCAAAGTGTTCTCAGGATATGTTGGCTGGGACATCCTCTCCGCCCATCACGCTGTCATCGACAGTGCCCACGTGGAAGTCGAGTTATCGCCGTTATGTCACTCTGCTGCAGTTGACTCGGCTTCCTTGCTTGCTAAAGCTTTTGTTGCTGGCGCTGCACCGACACCCTTTCATCCACGCTGTTGCTGCTTTTATGTGACATCTCTACTGCCTCAACTGTTCTTTACACCTCCTCAAACTGCTCTCTGTTGCAAGTGCTTCCCTATATCAATCACAATTCTCATCGTTCAAGATGAATTTTCGTTTATGATGTGTTTCTCTCGCCTTCGGCATAAATGCACGGAGAATGACTAGGTCTTCCCGGTGACGTTGATTCCTTGTGTGCATATGTCATTCCTGATTACGGGACTCCACCTCAAAATGACACCATTTATTGCTCTGCACCGCCCCTCAGCAATTCACTAGTGACTCGATTTTGCTTGCTTGGTCTAGCTGTGAAAAACATGCTAAATTATTAAAACTTTGCTTCAATAATTCTCATACACTTAACATTTTTACGTAATCTTGAAAATCTGGCACAGTAGCCTAGCAGGCAAGGCATTGTACTGCTAAGATCAACGTTGCATGTTCAACTCCTGGTCACTACAGCAGGACCGGATCATTTGATCTCTGCTCCAACCGTGTACGTCGCCGTTGCTCGCATGCCTTTACCCGCGGATGTAATTTACACACGATGCACGGGAGCATGTTATCAATGTGTAATTGACACGGGATATGAAGGCATCGGCAAAAACTTGCTAGGAGTGTCCATATAATTTCTATCGCAATATATAATAAAGCAAGCTACACAAGTGCTTTGAATGGGGCTAAAATATGCTCTAAGTGTTCTTACTGATTAAACTTGCTTGGAAAGGGCCTTCTGGCTGATCTAAGTCTGCGACAAAAAGCATTTTCACCTGCTGCCAGGACTGCACCAAAACCCGTGTACTTTTTCCACTCCTGTAAATGCAGCAAGAACTGTGCACTTAAGGTGAGGTGCATGTTAAAAAGCTCCAGGTGGTCCAGCTGAATCAGGAGTTCTTCGCTACGACGTAAAGTTCACTGAGAGGTGAACAGGGGTGCAGAATTCAAGCAGCAGTCACATTTAACAGATTTCATTTACCGAGAGTGCTGTATTTAGATAATTGTGAAGAGATTTCGAAAGTCTGCTGTTCCGAATTTCAGCTTCACTTATGGGCACTTAGCCTATGACTCAGCATGTGGGAGTTAGGTCAATCTCAAGTCTTGCGTGTGCAAATATTTTTGCTTTTTGTCCTACTGACCTTTCATTTTGTTTTTCTTTGCCTTTCAATCTAAGGTCGGTGCTGCGATCTCAATGACCTACATCACCGGACAGCCTATTGTTTTTGTTGGCACGGGACAGACCTACATTGACCTGAAAACGATCAATGCCAAGGCTGTGGTGCACGCACTCATGAAGTAGACAGCACCAGTGGAAGTTTGGCCGCCTTGGTACCCTGGCCCGGCTACACCCTTTCCGGCCTTTCTTGCTTAGGGCAGTAGCAGCCTTGTTAAGAGTGCCACGCTTTTCCTTTTTTTTGTTGTGAGAAATAAGCCTTGTTATACAAAGTGTTTTTTCCTCATGGTGTTATTGTTTACATGTCGACACTGAACAACTAAGAGGTTTTTTTCTCGGTGTCTTTTGATGAAAGATTTATGCTTTTTATTGTGTCATCTGCCACACGTATGTTGATTTTGTAACATTCCCTTGACGCTACCCTTTTTTCCCATTATTTCTCCATTTGTTGAGGAATTCACAGCCGAAGTTCTCGTCTATATCGGAAACTGTGAACTCTTATATGCGACTCTGATTCCTGTATTTATTTTTTATGGGCTTTCAGATCACTTGTTTTTGTTTTATTTTTTTGCTCAATGCATGCTCACAAAATGAAATAATTATTTACATATGATTATCTGTACAGCCTTGCTCTGAAAATCGTAGTTGTCTTATACATATTTGTTACATGCTAAGTGTTCGCCGCAGTTCTTAAAAAAAAACTCGGTTGCACCTAAATGCTGTACAATTAATGCACTTTTGTATAATTTTATGTAGTACTTCAATGCAATGGCAGCGCGCGTTTCGGTGGCCCCAGTTCGAATGTACGCTACGATATGCTGGCGCACGTTGGCTGTGAACCGCACTGTAACTTAACTATGGTGCCCTCTCTAACGTCGCCATGCTGTGCTATGGGCACTATAATCAGTTTACACTTGACTTGAGGAGCAGTGATCATTTGTGCCTGAAAATAAGTATGTGTTTCACTCTGCCGTATGTATTCAAGTTTCTTTTGGTTGTCTTTGGGTCACATCATTGATGCTTTTCATGGCATGAAGAGAGCACTAAATTTGTGATTTGTGTTCAGCCCGAGTTCCATTTTCTCTAGTGGCCTGAATTGATACTTTGTGTAGAACCACACAACTGCAATTCACTTTGCCTGATTTCCGTGCGACAGTGGCTGAACCTTTGCTATTCATATGCATCCAGTGTGTCGCCAATGAATGTTCAACAACCACAAGAATGGGCTAAAGAGCCTAAGAAAGGTACAGAATGGCACTACAGAGGACGGAACACGATGTGGCTCTGTCTTGGGCTTACTCTATTTTTAACATGTAGCTGTTAAAGCGTGCTGTTCCGTCGTCTCGCGTTAACAAGAAATATCATTGTCACGAATGACCTTTCTGGCATGTGCAGCACAATAACTTGGTCAGAGCGTGCTTTCCCGATGCACTGATTTGTCCGGCATGGGATGAAATTGCTCGGACGGGCAAGCAAAAGAGTGCAGAGAGAGTGAAATAGAGAAAAGAACAGGAACAAAGTGGAGAAGTAAAAGGATGAAAGGGCAGAGATGTACAGAAGAGCAATACTGAAAAAAATGAAAACGTTTATAGAAAGGAGAGCATGAAACGAAGGTACAGAAAGAAAATGAAGAGAAACAGAGGCAAGAAGGGAAACAAAACAAGGAGGGCCACCTGGCTCCTCTTTCCTTCAGGCTTGGTGCCACCACTCTCAACTCTCAGTAACGAAGTTAATGAGTAGCCTTGCAACAGATATATTGTTAGGAATATACTTTTATAACGAAGTTTTGAATATAACAAGCTTATATTAGTGTATGATGCAACCTTGGTGTAATAAGGCTTAAGTGTAGTGCGATGCTGCCTTAATTTTTTTTCAAGTTAGACTGCAGAAATTCACTCAGCCCTTGATATAACAAGTTCGAATATAATGATTTATTAGTTTTAACAAAGTAAATAAAAATAGCTCTGTCATATAGAGTGCTGAAGACGTGTTTTGAACGAATTTTCGGATATAACAAAGTATTTTCGTGGCACGTGTGATTTTGTTATGATAAGGTTCTGGGTAGTGCCCTTCAATCTTTTTAGCCCACCCTCATTCTCCTCCTGTGCTCCCTCGCTAGCCCTCTGTTGTGCTGTTAGAGCATAATATTTAAATTTTCTGGGGTTTTATATCCCTCTCATCATGCGACAATAACCCGTATGAATACTTGGTCATGCGTTGGTTGTACGTAGTTATTAACTAGTAAAATTTAGGTATGTTGTACTGTGAGTATCTCATAGACATTGCATACCAATAAAAAAAATTCTTTGATGGAATGTCGCCAAAGTACGAAAATTCAGTTTGAAATTTGTGGCGTCATGTGCGGAGATTTCAGCGTGAAATTTTAAAACGATACCTTCACCTTTATTCTCTCCTCTATCAATAAACGTTTGAAGGTGAAATAATGACATTGGAGTCCTCAGAGTACAATTTATCAATTTAGTCTGTTGCTAAAATATTGCTATATATAAAGATGCTCGAAGTATTGCTATACTGAATGTTCATTAAAATCACTAAACTTCTTTTATGAGTCAATTCAAGCCCAAATGAAATGTTCCAATTTATTCATGGTTAAAAACGGCGCAAGAGCGTGATACACAAACGAAGAATACACAAGGACGGGCATCCGTCCAATGCCCTGCAGCAAAAAGAAATATCGCGTTTGGTAGGCAAGCATGATAAAGCTCAAGCGTGTGGCCGTTAGTAGGGCACGTGAAGAGCGATTAATAAAGGGGAAGCTGAAAGAAGCGCTGAGAGTCCACAGCACTGATTTTCATCTAGACAGACTTGCGGCACAGCTTGTACTCGCCCCAACAGTTTGTGTGTGTGTGTGTGTGTGTGGTGGTGGTGTGTGTGTGTGTGTGTGTGGTGTGCGCGCGCGCGCGTGCGCGAATGGGAGCACTGTTGGAGACGTATTGAGGGGCTGAGGATCAAGCCTCAAGCAATTCTGAATCTTTTAAACAAGGTTGTCAAACTTGTGCAGTTTTTGCTTACAGTACCGGCATTAGGGTCGTCAGGAGAGCGCTCTCTTAATGCACTCCGGTGACTGAAAACGTATCTTCGGAGTCGCATCCCGCGCGCCCGTCTCACTCATCTCATCTTTCTGCTGGTCCACTGAGAAAGAACGAGGGAGTTGTTCCTCATAAGTCATCAACGAATTTATAACGATAATGGCCAAACACTCAGCCATGTTTGGTTTATGCTAGATATGTTGTTCCGTACCTTCAGGTTCTGTAATTGCTTCACCAGCATACGCCTCATTGAAATATTGACATTTTAATAGTGAGTGTTTGCCTAGTTGTCAATACAATTAGGACAAATTAATATAACCTCATTAACGAAGCAATTTGTCGCGGCTACATCAATGTAGTAGGAATGATATATTCTGTAGGTTTGCTTCGCGTTACGCGGTCTCTCTCTTTTTAATACATTATACCGTGTTTGATAACTGGGGCACCGTGTATATAATCGCTATATAGTGCTTGGTAATTTTAATTGTCGAGAGAGTGACAGTTAAAACAAGAGTATGACGTTGCTGCGCAATAGACACTTATACGGGTATTCTTTCGCGTTGCTGGATGATATTGCGCAAGACTTCCGAGCGTTGCAAAAACGCACTTCTTTTTTCTTTGTGCTGTGTCGTCAATTAATTTTGTTTTAATGGGTTCACATTCATTGTAAGGATACTCTGAGTCGTCTTATTCTAGAGTGTCGATTTGCTGCTTCTCCCATAGCTCTGCTTGCTTCAGTATATAGTAGTTACTACGTCTAGCGCTGGAAAATTGCCTATTTTGCAAGGCCTTCTTGATATATGATCTACTCTAGATGGTATTCCCTTTAGGGCGTCGATAAAGCTTGGGAAACAGCCAGTGGTCACAAGTAAAGAAAGAAGAAAAATGCGTCGGGCCGTCCATAAAAGTGGCATCGGGCCAAATCGTTACGATCTCATCTGTTTACGCAATAAACCAATATACACAAACGCATGAAAGCTATGCGCCATGCTAAAATATTTCTTTTAGGGCAAACATCGTTATGGTATGAGTTGTTTCCTCCTCTGTAGCACTAGTAGTAGTAGTAGTAGTATGCATGCAGCCCTCTAGTTTATGAATTGCTCAATAGATGGCGTTGTGTGTATATGTCCTTGGAAATATATCACTACATGATGTCAGTGGTTTTCGTACAGTTGACAGGTTTACGGATGGACGGGTGGACAGACAGTTGTGTCTTTTACACAGGATATCGACCAGTGCTCACCGTGCCACCGCTGCTCCTATGCAAGAACACGCGTATTTCTTACTTGCGTGAATGCCAAAGCAACGCGAAAACTTCAACCAGCGTGTTCCAAACCAAAATAGTACGTCGAATTCGTGCGATGCGAGGGGGGCTGGTTGATTTCATCTAAGAGAAACTCATGTTATGCTTACTCCACTGTGAATACCACCGGTGAAGATGCACACTGCATGCGTCTTAGCGCATCATATCTGTGTGGGTAACTATACCTGTAAGCAATTCATCCACTGAGCAATGAAAGCTATATACCGGGTGTTCAAAATTAAGCTTTATGATTTTTTTAAAATTAGGCGCTCGAAGGCACGTGAGAACCACTTGTGCAAATAAGTTAAGCGGCCAGGGGGACAGAAAGTTAGATATTATCGCTGTCAGCACCCAATTAACTAAAATTTAATAATTAACTTTTTACTGGCTGCGGTAAGTTGGCATGTTTATATTGAAAAAATGTAGGCAGTGGTGTTTGTACACAGTTTCAGTTGGAAGATTTTTTCTAGCACGCCTGTGTTCCGAGATATCCGGCTCCAAAGTTTAATTGTCTTTCGCACGATTACGCATGCAAGAGGGTGAGGGTCCGCGCAAAGCTCCTCCCTAAAGTGACGCATCTGTTGCGTGTGGTGTTTAGTGTGTGAAGAGGGTGGAAGCGTAGGCATAGGTGATAGCAATTACCCTTGCCCTCTTCGGCCGGCGAAATCAAATGTGACAGCGCGGTGCGCCATGAGCCTTACGCATGATCCTGATGAACGCGATAACAGGAGACCATTTTTCGCGACGTTTTTTCGTGACTTTAGATCACACTGAGACATCTTCTTGTGAACGCGTTAGCAGGACCGTCCTGCACTAGGGTGCCTCCGGTTAGAGCACAGCGTCTCTGCATTGAAGGTCTACCAAGGAAATCCACGTGGAGTCCTTTCGAGCTAATATGGCTGCTTCTGGCGTGAGGTAT